AAAAATCCGATGATATCATCTTCTGCTTTCCTAAACCTTCTACTCTTTTTATTTCGGAATTATCTTCATGCTCTTTTAGTGCTTTTCTGTTTAATAAATTTGTTAATAGATGTGGAAAAAATCGCTATAAAATTTAGCGATTACTTTCGTCGAGTCGAAATGAAAATTTTCGCGAGTTATTTGTTCGTTCGGTTAAACGATTTCTCTCAAGTTTAACCGAATGGACCAGTAAGGTTCATCTAGTATTTTAGACACTTTATTTGATATTCAGTTCTGAAAAATCCGGCTTAATCAAATATTCCTTGCGTTTCCTCTCTCTTTCCGGTTCTCATTTCTGGCGCTCTCTTGAGAGCTCGGTATATAGCCTTCGAATTCCTGACGATATTGCAACGGTGTTTTGACAGGAATGTAAGGATAATAAGCCGCAAAATTTAATATCTGCTTGCCGTCTTTATCGGGCCGCCGGATCCGCCCGGTCCTGTGTTTTTATGGATTTTCCAAAAGTCGTCGAACAAGTTAGAAAATCGCCTATTATAGGACAATCTACAAAGCCCGGAGCGGTGAAAAGGGACTCGTATCACAATAAAAATAGGAATCGTCGATTGACGTCGCTCAAATACCTTCAAAGCATCCGTGGAAATTTCTCCTCATACTGAAGTTTTTTTTTCAATTAATCGCGAATAGCGGTGTAATTAAAAAAAAGCGTTTTTCTCTTCTTTAAGGTATTGAAAAAAAGACCAAGAAACCGAAAGGAAATGTTGAATGTGGATAATTACTTTCTGAATATTTCATTTCGTTGGTTCGTCGACTTCCAGCGAATATCCAGGGACGTTTTAAAAAAGAAATAAGAACCATCCGGGCGTAGTTATTTTACCTGGCTATTCAGAACTTGCGCTATTATATCTCCACGTTCATCGTTTAATTTCTTTTAATATTATTTTCGTGAAAATTTAATCATATAATAATTTTAGTACCAACCAACATTTTTGACAGGTTATTGTATATCGTTCAAATATTTGTGAACTACCGTTCTGTTTATTCAGCGCAGGTCTGGCTAGCACACTCTCGGAAAACTCCAACAGCGATTACACCTAATCGTAAATTGTGAAACAATTTTAAGTGTCTGGATAATAAATTTTTTTCGATGCCTCGAATCGCTCCGGCTCGTCGGAATCTCCATTACCGTCGCCGGCGAATAGATAAAATCATGTAATAAACATAACGATTTTTATAATGGCCGTTCGCTGTTTTATCGCCGACAATTAATTTGTTTATAAACAGTCGCGAATTTCATGCCGAACTAATTACCCTATATCGAGCTTTTCTAGGGGAAATGGTGGTAGCATTGATTATTTATAAGTTGGTAATATATTGTATATTTGATTCCTTCATCTTTTTGTATTGATTCATTTTTTGTGTTGATTTATAGTGGATTTATTAAAGAGTAATCTTGTTATTTACTACGGCACTGTCGTGTACAAGCAACCCCGAATATCTATTTAACGAGAGAAAATTTTAGAATTGAGTCGAATCTAATTTTAGCCGTTTTAACATCCGGCCGATCGAAATTAAGCTACCTTTTGAGCAATTTAAAAGCTGTAAGCGACGATAAATCTGGTAAAATGTTATAAATAACCGATAGATAATTGACAGGCTTTAAGGTTCATCGTCATTTATTATTTCCACGCTCGTTCAAAAAACCATAAGCAAACGCGTAAACGTGGGTTTTATTATAAACATTCGTCGTAAAAACGTTTTCTGCACTGCACTGGCGAATCCCGACTAGAATTTTCGTTTTTTTTTTCGAATAGTTCGAGTCGTAATTCTCGAAAAGGGAACCAAGGCCGGGGAGGAATTGAGTACATCGTTTTTATCCTCCATTTTCCCAACCTCAAATGTATTTAATCTTTCACAATGACTCCTTTTAACAAACCCATTTTTTATATCGTCCATAAAGAGTGATTCTTTATTACCGGTCTTTATCGGACCATCGAATAAAAATTTTATCTACCACCGTATGGAAAGCGAAAGAACGACGAAAGATTTTTTTCGTTCGTTTTATTTTCTTTATCTAAAATTTTACATTTCTTATAGCACAATTTTTATCGTATACTAGTTTCATTATTTAAAAGCTCTTTGCTAATTTGACGCCTCGTCCATAAACGTCTAACTTGTCACCTAAAACGTGTCCAATATTAAATTTAATGTATCGGTTTTCCTGCTGGTTTTTTTAACAAACGTCGAAACAAATTTAAAAAGCTATTTTCACGTCGAGCCAGATTTTTCCTTTAATATTTAATTGAAATTGACGTTTCGTTTATTCTATTTCTGAAATTTTTCTAAAAGTTTGCGCCACAAACATTGAACTTTCAATGCATACATTACACATTCTTGGGAAATGTCGATAATGATTTATTCAATCATGCCTTCCTCGAGCCCAATATTGCGGAATGTTTTACTGTATCAGCTAAAAGCGTTAATAGATTATTCAATCAAGTATTTCAATCGTGGGTAATGCGAATTGTTTCGTTATTGAATATTAAATTCGATTAACACAGAACAACGCCCATCTTTTTGAAAGAATCCGGTCTTTGACCATTAATTGACAATAGAGGGGAAACGAAGGACCTTCGAATTTCGCGATTATTCGACCGAAATTATAACGAAACACTTTATAACTAAACCAAGGTTAGGCTGCTATGGTTTTGTATTGAAAATCCAGAGGCGCCCCTTTAAAGAATCAGTGAGGTTTTAATTTTCGAATGGTGCTAAATCGGGGTTGTAAGAAGAGTTTATTTTTGCTGTGAGGATGGTTCAACGTTCTTTAATTATATCTGGATCCCGTTTTTCATGTGCATTATGTGATGATACGCTTAATAAAAATAACAAATATTTGTTCGGCCTCGTTGTCGATTGCAATCCGATCAACAAAGAAGCGCCCGTAATGTTAAATATTTGTGTAAGATTTTAGGAAACGATAAAAAAGTTTCCCTCCATTTTCGAAATGTAAATGCAGTGAAAATCCGTTTTTCTTTTATAAAATCACTGTTAATTAAATCGTTTAATTATAGCCGCTGGCTATGCTGTAGCGTTGTTTCAAAATTTTTAATTTTCCTGCTTATTGGTATGCACAATAAATATTTATTTCGTTTGAATTTATTGATATTAATAAATAATTGAATAACAACAGTAGGTACCTACTCTATTTTGTTCGTAAAAATAATTATGATGTTATAATAGCGTAATAAATTTTAATAACCAGTTAAATGTTTTGTGCGGGTTAGCAAACGATAGATTTGTTTGTTGCTTTGTATTATATTCGAACAAATTATAGTACAATTTTCATAAAAATAATTTAATAAAAATTCGCGGAATAAACGAAACGTTTTCATAAAGTAATTAACCAGTTTAATTTGAATAAGCAATGATAATTATTATTTACTAAAGTTTACACGTTGCTTTATCACAATCGGCAACTAATTATATAAAAAAACAGTTAATGACATTCGTAACAAAGGTGATCAACTCGTAAAAATTTAAATACACATTTTACCTCAATTTTTAACTTGCTTTAAACAATCCTTTGTCTACCATTGCGTACCGAAACCTAGGTGTATATTTACATACAGCCGATGCAGGTGCGTTTTTTTCCGGACCATAGACGCTCGGAAATCCGGCAACGCCGTCGCAAGTGGGAGTCTATTGATAATGACCTTCAACTCCGGTGTGTTTCGTCGTGACCAAAGCACTCGAAGCAGAAAAAGGAAAAAGGATGAGAAGCCTCGAACTGCACGCACTGCATCGACTTAAGTTCGAGCCGAGACGAGACGACGCGAGCCGGAATCGTTTTATCGGGTTTTCTTTGTTTACAAACATAACCAGCAGACATGGTGAATTTGGCCAATTGATGTCTGTTTAAATCGAGTAACGAGATTAGTCCAATTTTGCCAAAGTTGCCGTGACTATCTAGCTCATAGATGTGGGTTAAAGTTACTCGTGTGTTAGGGAGATTGTTTGGTTAATTAGGCGAACTTTAAAGTGACTTATGGACACTCTGCTAAAAGTAGAGTAGGTGTGTTCAAAGATAAAAATCACTCTTGAGGACCGTTAGGGTATGTTTTACTCTCAGATGTACCTTCACTTTTATTTACAGTTTGTTCAACACGTTAACTACTCATTTCCATACAGGGTGGGAATTGTGCAGCAAGGTTAGAGTTGAGCCAGGATAACGCTTTAAAATTTTCTAATTTTGGCTTATCATGGTAATTATTTTCACATTGAAATATACATAAAATTTATGGGTCTATAGAATTAGGGATTTACCACAGAGAATGGAGAAGAAATGTGAAGTAATAGAAAACATAAAAAAGTAAAGGCTGGAATATCTAGAACACATAATGAGAGTAGAGGTGTACCTACTGTTCAGTCATATTTCGAGCTACAATTAATAGAGTTTAAATTGCAATGATGATTTCCAACATCTAATAGGAGATGGTACTGAAAGAAAATGAAGAATTAAGGGAGAATATTATTGAAACTAACAGGAAATAGGAATGATTCTTTTGTTTTGTGGTTCTCTTGTTCGAAACTTTCAACTTCTAGTGAATCTAGTTTTTTCTCTGTCATCTCTAAGTAATTCAAAATAGACCTGACATTTTCAAAACAGTCCAAGCTACCAACATCTCTTCACTACAAATTTTACATGGCTGTGTTTGCTTTGGAACAGAACAGGTAAAATATTCAGACCTAAAATATTAAGGAGAGGGGTTTAGTTTAGTCTACTCGCTTGCATCTTTCAATTCACAATACACGAGGACAGTTCAATTTTATCCACATTGTGCTAGGCTTTGGTTCGTTTGATACAAATTCTTGTAAGTATACCAATTAATTTATTCGCTTCTTTAGTAGAGATATTCGTTTATTGATTCGATCGGTATATGATATTAAATCGAGTACCGACGGTGGAATTGGCTCGGTTCGAACGTCGAAGCAGCGAGAGCATGTGGCGGCGTGAGCGAAGCGGTCGCGCCATCGGGCAGGGTCCCCGACTAGGCGAACGCCGGCTGGCCGGCAACGGCCCGGTGTCGCCGGAGCCAAAGGCGCACGAAGGGCTCACGAACGGCTCCAAAGCCGCACAAAAGCCGATCGCGTACGCCGGCTGCATCCAGTTCGCCGCTCCAGCTCCAGTCGTCTATCGTTCGTCGACGGGGGTGGTTTCAGGATTCGATCGTTACGCGTTTTGCGCCCTGTCTTGGCTCGAGCTCGCTGCCTCCTCCCCGACGTGCTTTTTGTTTATTTCCGTTTTTTATTTTTCGGTTTTTTTTTTGTTTCGCGTTCGTATTGAAGTATGCTGTTCGAGAACCCGCCGGGTAAGTTGTTCGCGCCGTACAACGTGCCGCCTCCGGTGTCGGTGTTGCCGCCGCCAATGCACGGGTAAGTGGAGGTTGAGATACTATATAGATATATGATTTCGTTTTTGGTTTTCCGAGAAGAGCGGCGTTTATTTGTTGGCTTTAGTTTTCGGGCGGCGTTGCCGGTTGGTCGGACGTTTCGCTCGAACTCCTATTTTTTTTTTGTTGTTTGTTTTTTAATATTCTCCGGCGTTCTCTCCCTGTTTATACGAGCAGGTCACGATCGGATCGGTCTGCGACAGAGGCGTCCAATACGTTGCTAATGTCGATGAAATTCCGCAAATTGCCGATATTATATTTGTTGTCGAGTAGTTTTGTGTTGCGCTACACTTTGGTTTATTTTTTTATAAATGAGTTCTTTAGGCATGATTTTTTACGTAGAATAACTCCATAGGAATAACTAATTTCGTAGGTATATTACTATTTTGTAAATAACTTGTCCGTTGACTTGTAGCAATAGATGATTTTTACGAAAAATCATAGCGAAACTGGTACTAATGCTTTGTTCACGAAATTGAGAATAAACAACAAAAACATGTTGCAACAATGTTCACAAAAACTCCATATTCAATAATATTAAATAAACAATCATTCGTTTATAATTTCTATTTCTTTTGTTCTTTAACGAATGGATCATAAATAACCAAAGAAGTAGGAATAGCCAGGGATACATTGCAAACAAAAATACTAACTTTAAATTGAAATTACATTGTACATTTTGTAGGAAGTTTTGCATTTTACTACCTGACATTGGAACTCTTCCCAGACTTCCTCTAAAGGGATTAGAAAGTTAAGTACTCTATTGGTACTCTTCCTTAATTGCCTAATCCCTAATAGCAAACCACGATCTAGTACCGTCCCTGTAAATTACTTTATAATCCCAATTCTTCCTTAAAACACAATCAATCCATTACGATTATAATATTATTAAACTAATGAATGAACCAACGTAATTACCTAAACTGTAATCAAATATAAATATTTAATTGATATTAAACAAAATATGAGCGCCCACATTTTATTAGTAAATACCCGAATAATAATTTCGTGTTTTCGCGTGCGTTATTCAACATTCAACCCGGCATTCGATTTTCCAGCTTGTCTGTGTTTTTTTTTTCGTCGAACATCTGCTCCTGCGTTTAAGCACCAGATGTTTATACAACCAAACATTTCGCAGGATGTAAGGTCCATCGGGTATTCGATGTAATAATAACAATTAAAGTATCGCGTATAGGGCTTAATATTCGGGCAGTATTCCGGAGAAAGGATTAATTACGGCAACGCCACTGCAATATGTGACAAGTTGGACAAACGACTACAATGTATTTTTTATTCGTTGATTGATTGCGTACATTAAATTGCGATTATGTGCATGGTGTTACTTGCACTAGGAGCGTTTTCGGTTGATTTGTCAACGGTTGAAATGTTGAATTCGTAAGAAGAGTGGGTACTTATGGGGTAACTGTACACAGGGGGTTTTGTCAGTTGCTGATACAATGCGAAACTCAAAACCTCGTCGGATATTTAGGGGCTTCGCAATCGTATCACCCTCTTGTAGGTACTTCTTGGCTAGAGATGGAGCAATCCTCTCGTTATATCATAAATAACGTCAAATCGTAACTATATTGGTTTGTGATATTAACTAAAATACAATAATGATCTGTAAATGTATATTTTTAATTTTCCTGCGTTCATATGATATGCGTTATCTAATAAAGTCCATCAGCATCAGGTTTGCGTTCTATTACAATGTGTGCTTTGTAATGCCTGTGTAAACTTCCTATTTTTTCCAAGTTTCATATGCAAACATATTTTATTATATAAAACTCGGTTTGTACCAATATATTTTTTATACGTATACTGTACCATACACATTTTCTGGCCCGTTTTTAGCCAATCATTGATTATATTGGTTAGATATTCATTGACCCGTTCAAAAGTTTATTCTTCCATAACATACTTCCAGTTAATGAAGGGAAAATATTTTCAGAAGAGTAAAGATATTGTATAAAACAAAGCGTAAGACACACATAAATCGATTGTTACGAATAACATGGGAATCGTTATGAAGTGCAGTTTCCATCTCTATTAAACCAGTTCACTCCCTTTCGTTCCACGAGGGGAAAATCTTTGTCTGTTTCGAACAGAATGTCGCCCGACTGGTTTCTGCCACATGAAGTTTAACATTTTTCAAATCAAACGTAACTGAATTGAATTTTTTGCTGCACCGAAACGTGACAAAATGTTCTTTTCCGATATTAAAAGTTCCCCATTGGCTGTAATAGTAATTTTTATACCTGCACCGAAAAGTACCTACGGCAGATTATCCTCGAACTTTTGCCATTAAATTTGAGATTCGTCTTTTCTTAAAGCCAAAACCTTGAAAGTTCCTATACCTGAGTTTAATTATATCGAATGTTCCAGACGAGATGAATGTCGTTTTAATATGTTCCAATTTATTTAATACAAATTGTGTTTTAAGGAGTAATAAACAGAAATAAATACGAGTTTTATAGTTTAATATACGTTATGCAAAATTACTTTGATCTTGAACTTTTTATTGCCGAATTCGTAAGTCCTATTAAAATTATGAGTAATGCCTATTAATTAATTGAATAAAATTTGATCAAATAGTGTACGAAAATATAATAAAATGTTGTTCGTTTACCTCTAAATAAATTAATTGTCGTATTCTTATTACTATCGTAAATTACTCTATTGAAATTTCCGATTTTATTATAGCAATAAATCAATGGATAGAACGAAATTGGCGCGATGCCAATTGAACTCCTGACTTCCAACATGGAAGTCAAACAAACATTCGAGCACTGCAAAATAACCAAGTAAATTGCACTTGCAAAAATCGCTTTACAAAATTAATTTATTCGATTATTAGACGTTACGAACTCGCAAGTTTTGTAATACAGGTATCTCCTTTTACACAAACCTGCTACCGTCTAAAAGCTTCCTTCTAAACTTATACGTTTATAAGGATATAGTATATTCTCTATTTAATCTGATTAAGATGTAATTTCATTACGTGTACTTCTTTCCCGGAAAGTGCTTCTAATCCCCTTTCCCATCGAATAAGGATTCATTATCATTGTATAGGGATTCTCTTTAACCGACCGAACGAAAATTAGTTCCATCTTCGATTACGTTCTGTTCGTCTACAGGATGTGGCAAATAACTTATTAAAATGCGCTTATTTGAAATCTACCGCGTTCAGTATTAGAAACGTACCAGGAATGTTCGTCATATGTTACGGTTCTATTTCATATCTCCGGAACGGGAGCGCCGAATTCGATTACTTTTACCCGAAAACCAGAATGTCTCCCTGCTGATCATGCAAACGTGATCGCGCCAATTTATTCGATACGTGCTCTATTCACGTTTAGTCCTGCGGTGATGTCACGAGATGATACATTGAACGAAACTCTATCAAAGTTAAAGTAAAATCATGATTATTCACTTTCTTCCAAAAGTTTATTCAAGTTGTTACAATTCGTAGATTACTAACGTCTCGATGTGTACAAAATGGTTTTTTATCTGGAATAGTAAATGCCAGGTCTTCGCAATTTTTGTTCCTACCATACCAGAATCTTGATGGATACAATTCATTTGTGGAAAAGCTGGCACTCACAACAGATTATACGAGTATCGTTCGGAGAAGTGTTGTCGCGTATAAGATAACATAAATACCCCTTTCGAGAATAAGTTTTGGGAGGAACTGTATAGCGTCACCGCGTAATCTCACGTCAATAATGTTACATTTTATACGAGTATTTGTTTCTAAGTTAAACTTAATCGCTGTCACATGTGTCGTCGGATTCTTCTTTGCATGGCTCCGGTGGAATTTCCTTTGAGCAATCCCTCTTTCGTTTTTTTTCCATGCAACGCATCAGCATATAAGTGTCGTATGTTTGTTTTCGAATGGGATAGGTCTGGGCAAACGTGAAATACTGAAATAAAAATAATGCTAAATAAACACGGAGTATGAAAATTAACTAACCTATACAAACATCGCCTATTCATAAAGTTATACGAATAATTTATTATTGTGTTAACGTGGGGCTCTTTTTATACGTATTTTATACATGTTTCTACTAACAGAATTTTCGCTTAAATTTTTTGTAGATACGCTTCGAATTATTCTAGACTGAATTTTTAGAAAATATGTATAATTAAAATTTACCCTATATTTGTAAGTTGTTACTGTGCATGTTGAAACATTTTTTTTTCTTTGATGTAGCACTAGTAGATAAAATTTCGCCTAAAAGTGTTAGATGTATAAGAAAGGAAGTCGAAATACGTAATTCAATTTAATTGCTCTAGTAGCGTTTAAAACTCGAAAGGGTGGTTAGTTTATTTTATTCGACTTCCTTTCTACCGTTTCACGAATTTACGAATTCGTTTTTACACCACCACAAAAAAGCTGTACATGTATTTTGTATATATTTATATAATTTCACTTTCTTTATGTAATATTGTAAAATTAACCTTATAAAATTAGTTGTTTTTATTTTTTCATAAAGCTGTCTCTCACCACATGAGTAGATAACAAAAGTTATTATTCACTAATATTCACAATGTACTCATTCATTATAGTCATATACTTCTTCGCTCATTAACAGAGACAGGCTTAATATTATTCAAGAGATATTTGAAGATTCATCCCGACAAAATGATCTTCGAATATCGATTTTTTAGATCTAGCGTAGTGGAAAATACCATCATTGTTCATGTTTCTTCTGATTTGCATCACTAATACAACCGCCTTGTGTAGAGAAAAACAAAAATTGTTGCACGTATCTAAATTGAAGATCAAAAAAGACTCATTGTGATTTTTTTGTACTTCAAGTGTGGCTGGAATGGCAACGCGGCGAAGGCAGGGCGGCGGCGGCGGCTCCGCCGCCCCTTTGGCGACCATCACGAGAAAATCCAGACGGGCGAAAAGGAAGAGAAACCGACCATCCAAAATTATTAAGGACATTAATGAAGGTAACGAGATAGAAGAAGGCCAATGTAGGAGATGTAGCGTAGAATACGATTTACAAATTTTTTTGTATCCATCTATTTTCCAGCTAGTTTTAAGCGTTTTTACAGGTACCTAACGATTAGGATTTATCCAACGATTCGGCTGATATAATTTGTGTTTAATGTAATTCAAATAATGTGTGTGATTTATTAATTAGCGCTTTTGTGGTAATAGTTGATCGCGAATTTACATCGCGTAGTGTAAGAACAGCTTAAAGCAGTAGCTTAAAGGTGCGCTTACACAACGCGAATTTATTTCACTAAAGCTGGGTTCACATTAAATTTTAACTAATCATTTTCACGGTCAACTATTATCTCAATAATTATTATGAAAGCATTATATAATTTATTAAGGGGGTTGTTTATCAATGCCATTAGTATCGACTGGAAACAAATTTTTATAATTCCCTAATGGGGATCGTTCATCAACTCTACATGCACCGTACTAACTATATCAATCTTAATTTTCCAAATAGTATGAAGTATATTAGACGTTTAAAGATTTATTTACCCGATACATCATTCTCGTGGAAAAGTCAATGAAAGAGACGTTGTAACAAAAATGTTCCATTTTCGCTTTGCCGCGACATTCTAATGATCTAATTTTATGTATCGAACGAATGCATTTTCGTCTCTCCTTTATCCCTTAGCATAGGTTCCCGAACGGTAGATTACAAACATACGTATTTCCTCTACGACCCTCCAAACCGCGATCCCTTCTGACTATTGTCTCGACCATTCCCATTCAACCAGTATTGATTTCTAAAAGTAGTATATATAACCTCCGCTTATTCATCGCGTTTCAGCGGCGTGCGACAGCGTTTTCCCGCCGGTCCTGCGACGAAATAATCGGTCGAATATTTCCGTTTATAGGCAAACATCCCGGAAAAACGATTCCCATTACGCGTCGCTAATTTATTTACGATAATTCAATTTATCGACGTTCAAAGCGTAGCGCACAGACGAAACGCCAGCGATTTATAAATAATTAATGTAGTAGATGTGGAGGATATTCGAGCGAATTGTTTCGGCTTTATCGATTGGGCTAGTCGAGAGAATCTTATCTATGAAATATTGAAAGATCACCGGCCAGTGCCGGATCGATTCCTGCACTCGCGCCAGCAGGAATTATTTCGAATGCGACGCGTGAGCATTTTATACAGATCAAACTCGCTGGATCGATTCAACAGGAATAAAAATTATGAGATAATTAAAAATTAAACCGCTATATTGTACCCAAATTAATGCAGGAATAGAAATAGCATTTCGCAGGAACTGTCAGTCAATGCGGTTAATCGCACGTTTTTTAAATCTAACGCAATCTGGAGTTTGAGTTAATTACTTAACTGTTTGATCGTTGTATATTATAATTGAGTGTTAGGTTTAATTAATTAGAGGCACGAAGGTTTTTATTTGAGTCGCGCACGAATTTTTAAGTTAATCGGTTCAATTAAATGAGACGTTTTATTTAATTAATTTGTCGTGGGTTGTGTCTTTTGTAAATAGAAGATTGCTTCGATATAGCGTGCTTTTTTAAAATAACGTAACGTTATTTTTACGTACGTTAAATGTCATTGTTGTCAATTCGTCATAATGATATGTGACGTTTGTCAAAATAACGTGAGGTTTAGTAAAAAATAATGCCATGATATGCGTATTTTTTGCATTAAAAAGTTCTGAATAATAAACTTCAATTTAGGCATAATAAAACGAGTATAAATTACAAAATACTGCAATATTAAATTTCTACGATAAATGAAAATGCCAAATATTCGAAGCATAAACTAAACTACTATAAATTCCACAAAAGAGCTACGTTCCTACGGGAGCTTATTTGTTCCATCACAATCGACACATCTTTATTAACTACTAGTATTTCCTTTTATCTTGTTAACACGATCCCGGCAGCGAAGGAAATGAGGAAAAATCAATGTTTTCCTCCCACCATCAGGTACATAAACAATATCAATGGTATTTCCCTTTCGCGCCGTCGTTTATCATCGTTTATGTTTTGGCGTAGCTTTTCCGCCAGCCGTGCCTCGTTGTAGCGACAGATGGCGCAGCTTGTGGATTTTCCGCCGCCCCCTAGCGACCGGTTTCGACTTTCATCGGACGCCGTTATCGACCGGTTGTCACTCCCTAAACAATGACATATACAAATAAAGGGAAATGCGAGCAGTTCCATCGGAATCAGGTGTTTAGGGTCAATAAGAGAATTAACCAGTAGTTTTATTCTACATCTACATGAAACATTTAAAGCCAAGTAAAAATGTCTAAGTGCTTGTTTATAGGGTGCATTTTAAATTATCTAGAACGTCTAAGGTGTATAAGCCTACGGTCAATCAATATGATGTTTCAACACGTATCTAAAATATACAAAATTCGTTATCTAGTGAAACTAAAAATTCTACTGTTCCCTAATTGGATTGTATACAATATAGATTATAAGAGCACCAAATCGAATATAGAGAATTTAGCTGAGGCACCTTCATGAACAACGCCGCAACGATCGGATAAAAGCAGTCGTGGAGAAGCGTCTGTAGCAATGTCCCGAAAGCAGCAGTAACTATAAAATCAGTACTGCTGTGACAGGACAATATCACAGCCGCCCAGCCGATGATGACCAACGATACGGATCGTCCCGCATCCGGACCAAACCAAATTTCCAAGATGGTTGTCCGACGACAAAAGAGCCTGGCTTGTTTTGTACGTAGCGGAGGAATTGTTCGGAAGAGCGCGTCGCGATCACTGACTGCTCTCGGTTAGGCGGAAAAGGGGCCTGCGTGTGCCGCCCCACGTCTACCCTCCTCCGCCGGCGCTTCGACGCCGAACGGTGCGCCGGCGCCGCCGGAGCCGCACCCCACATCACCATTGTGTACGCACGTGGTGTGGCGGTTGTTACATCGGCCGGAGGGTAGAGTAGGGACGGCGGTGCGCCGTATTGATCAGGGTGGAGGCGGCGGCGGCGACTGTAAGGAAACGATCTCGAGCGAGACTTTTTCAATGGTCCTAAAAAACGGAGAGCGCGGAGAATGTGTTGCGCTTTGTCGCTGTAAGCCGAGATTAACACAATTGGACTGTCTATAACATCTACGTGAATTTCAATGATACATTATGTAGATTGAAAACAACTAAAATCGAAGATGCTCAGCTCGATAAGCTGCGCTTAAATTGGATTAGTCGCAATGTTATAATCTGATTAGGTTTTAAACTGGTTCTGTTACATTTAATATAGAGGTCTGTGAGATTAGCGCGGGCGTAAAATGAAAATTCTCTATCTGCGTAGTTCATTCATACACCAACTACTCTAACATCGTTTTTCAATTGCAAACAGAATGAAGATTGAAAAACTTTTCAATAAACTACCTTACCTTCCGTTGCCTAGGCTCCAGAAGCAATTCAAACATGTCGTGTTCTTTTCTGAATTTATTCGCCCTGTAACAAGAATTAACAAATGTCTAGTAAACGAACCAAATAATCAAAATACATAGCGTACTTACACGACAACATCTGTCCGTATGAAGCCTTGAATAACACTAAAAGACATCCAGCAGAGATCGCAAAAAACGATCATTAAAATGGGGATAACCTGTAACAAAATCACCATTATCATTTCAATTCCATTAATTTTGTCGTTTAATAGCGTATTTTTTTTTTCTTTTAAGTTCTAACATGGGCGAAGGAAATGGTCTGATCGACCACCATGATCTACACAACAGTCTAGTGCCCATAAACGGCAGTCACTCTGGATCATCTGGTCGCAGTACGCCCAACAACGCCAGCGATCCAGCCCCTGGAAAGCTCTTCGTGGGCGGCTTGAGTTGGCAGACTTCCTGCGAGAAACTCAAGGAATATTTCGGGATGTTCGGAAACGTCACGGACGTCCTCATCATGAAGGATCCAGTCACCCAGGTATGTAGTTTTTGAACACTTCCTGTCATTAATTTTATACTTTTAATGGTGAATCTTCTACATTAGATTCCTCTATTAAACAGAGTGTGTTGTTGGTTTCAACAAGGTCGTGAATGATGCATTAACGTTGAATAAAATTTTCCAGCGGAGCCGAGGTTTCGGGTTCATCACGTTCTCGGAACCGTCGAGCGTGGACAACGTCCTCAAGGTGCCCATTCACACGTTGGACGGCAAGAAAATCGATCCGAAGCACGCCACGCCGAAGAACCGGCCGAAGCAGCCCAACAAGACGAAGAAGATCTTCGTCGGCGGCGTCAGCCAGGACACGTCCGCCGACGAGGTGAAGGCCTATTTCAGTCAATTCGGCAAGGTCGAGGAGACCGTCATGCTGATGGACCAGCAGACCAAGCGCCACCGAGGCTTCGGCTTCGTGACCTTCGAAAACGAGGACGTGGTGGACAGAGTGTGCGAGATCCATTTCCACACTATCAAGAACAAAAAGGTTGGACGTTTCACCGCAGTTCGAACGGTATTCGATAAACGAGAGTTTGTGGTGTTTCAGGTGGAATGCAAAAAGGCGCAGCCCAAGGAAACGGTCCAAGCGAGCGCCCAGCTGCTGGGCAAGCGGCTGATGCTGACGGGTCTGGGCATGCGCGCGATAGCGCCATCGCCGGGCGTCTTGGCGACAGTGAATCCCTTGGGAACGGTCCAAGCGCAGGCCCATCTGCAGGCGGTGCAAGCGGCGGCGGCGGCCGCCCAGGCGCAGCCCATGGCGCTGGCGACGTACGGAAAGCTGTTCGGCACCTATCCCCATCTGGCCAGCTACCGGTTCTCGCCGTACCCGATGGGAGCGGTGGGAGCCGGTGCTGCGGCGGCGGCCGCCACCAACACGAACCCGGCGCCCGCGGCGCAGGCGGCTACGGCCCCGCCGACGGCGCTGGCCCCGCCGGTGCCGGCCAGTCCTTACCAAGGCTATAATCTCACCAATGTCGATATGTCATCATTCCAGGGCGTCGATTGGGGATCCATGTACGGTGTCGGCATGTACGTTTAAGTGCTCGCCCTTCGCACGCCCTTCGTTTACTTGACGTATTTTTTTTTCGTATTAATTGTTTAACTGTGAATGGACTTCCAAAAAAAAATTGTAATACATTTCCATTGGAGGAGTTGATTCGCCTGCGTCTGAGTTAATTTTGGAATACTTTCGAGTAGTTGGAATATGTGCTCAATTTTTAAATTAGCGAGTTAATAAAGTTGTTGAACGTTTTTAAATAAATGTAGTTCTTTAGTCAATTATTATCGGAGTTAAGAGAATATTTTGACGGTCATTTTGGTTTCGATCGCGTTAATTGATTTCGACTAAAAACAATATTTGATACATACATATCTTTACATTGAGCAATATTTTTAATATTAGTTTTAGACGATCTATCTAGTTTGTGGTAAACGGATGTGAATCTCAATTTCTTCTTTTTACGCGAAAGAAGAACACCTATCCGGTGAGTTTGTGGTTTTTTAACAATAAAAAAAAAACGTATTTTAAAATTAATCTACGATGCAGGTCGATTGATCACGAGTCTTTTTCGATTGTCAATGGCGGCGTCTCGTGCCTATTCTAGATGTTACACTGTGTTGTATAACCGACGATTGATGGTCGTTCGTTTTCCTGTAAATAGAATCTCTCATTTGCGACATGCTGTGGGCAGTTTTCTGATAAGCATCACCTTTCGCTTGCGTCGCAATACCGACGAAAAATTAAAATACTCTCAATCAATTCTCTGATGCCGCCTCTCTGCTCATAAAGCATCTCGGCAATAACTCGCAATAATCAGTATTATAAACTTTTTCGATCGAATACGCAAGATGCGTTTTATTTAATCACTAATAACGCCGAAAATATTTCGCTCGATTACAGTGAAAAATTGTTAATAAAAAATTTAGCAAATTTCACGGTCGAAATGAGTGCGTGAAAATTGAACAATGTATTAATATTTATGAAAACATTGCGGATGAAAGTACGCAAATTATTCATATTTTCATTTTAATATTTTGTACAGGAGTCTTCATAAATGATTGATTCCCACGTCACCAAATTTGAAATAAACTTAGCAAATTTGTTATGTTTATGTTGATACCCAAAAAATACGTTACTAGAATACTGTCATTAATGTCAAGTCAACGTCAACTCGTTCATCAATGATCATCAATAATCATTCATCAAGGAATCAATGATTTATGAAGACTCTGTATTAGAGCAATGATGCAATGTTTTCGGTGATATAGTTTGAATTTTATCGAGGAAAATATTTTACGATCCAACAAAGGACTTTTATTTTCTTCCACATTGAATAAAACACATCTTGCGTAATGCTCTTTTTCATTTTTTTCTCTTTAGTTCCCCCCTATTTGATATTCCTGTCGCATGGCAATAAGATCGAACTCATTTTATAAAAGGGAACGATTTTAACAAGGTTGTGTGTTTTATCAAGCGTGTACTTAAGTTATTTTGTAGCACTTAATTTATTGTTTTTCGTTTTTATTTTTCGACTGATAGGAAGTTACATTTTCATCACGATAATTAATTATGTACGTTCGAAGATCTCATAATTATTCATTCGGTTTTAATTTCGTAGGTTTTAGCTTGTTTCGTGGAATGCTCGTGACATTTTTACCTGTTTTATGTACTTAAAAATTTTTCGCTAAATTATTTTACGAATCGCCGACGGCCGATCTACTTAATCTCGTTCAATCGAGCATTCCTTAATTAGTTTTTACGTAATATCCTCACTCAGCTAGCCAGTAAATCCGGAATAATTTATTTTAATCATCCACTCGAATTTCGCGCAGATCTAGTCATGGCAATGTTTCGTTTCATGATAATATCTGGCCCGTTTTCTCACGTAGTACAGACCTGCCTACATTCCGTATTAGCTGTGCATCGAGTATCTTTACATACATTCGTGTGATTCAAGGACCAATGCGTCTCTGCCTTTGGCCTTAAATGTAGTGGGCCAACGGTGACACACGAAACTAAAAACACCCTAAAATTAATACAAAAAAATATTAATCAGATTTTGTTGATTTAATTGGTATTGGATCGGTTCTGAACTACAATTACTAGAATTCTCGAGAATGGTGTTTTTAATTTCGTGCGATTCATTAATAAGATAAAAAAATGGTTCATACTGATGTTTTTATACCGTAATTGTAGTTGTTTAATGGACACAGCCCCCTGATGGACGCGTTTTCCGGTTTAGATACCTTGTGATAGTTGTTGGGTAAACGGAAATGCGTTTAACTCGTACGTATTTGTGTCAGGCAAGTTGCTTATCGAGTTATTTTTCTTCGGCGCGTTTACTTTGACTGATTCGATTATAGTTTGTAGGTGATTTTTTTTATCGTTTCTTAGGCAGCTAGTTGGCTTTTCTTAGGTACTGAACTTGAGTTTAATTGGATCTTGAGTTGCGTAGATGGTCGATCGAGTGCCAAATAGGTTTTAGTATTTTTTTGTTTCGGTTCGCAACTTTGCGTCGGATTTAGCAAAAGGAAGGAACAACACCCATGCATTCCAATCCGTTTTCGGTTAAAATTTGTTGGTCGGTGAAATTGGATATTTTTGGAAATTTATAAACGAGTTTTTCTATCGCGATTCCTTTCTTTTGATAAACGAAAAGGGGCTAATTAGTTTCTAAGTATTTGTAACAAAATATTATCAAGTTGACAAGCAATAAGCATTGTGAGACAGAATGAACAAACCCTCTATTTTTGTATCCAATTATAAATTGTTAAGAGAAATAAAAAAATGGTTTAGTTTTCACTTGGTGATAAGTGAACCCTTGCCGAAAAACAACCTGTATATATATTTAATGTATTTTATCAGAGGGTCTGAATGATTGTGACAAACTAAAAAAAATGAATAAAATTTTTAGATATGTAAGTCGAACCGAGCGGAATTTAGAAAGTTGTTTTATGAACGAAAAAGGTGCAGAAATACGAGAAAAATAGATAACTTAATATTAGAAGCTCAACATTTTAATTTCCCCTCTTATACTTTCGTATTTCAACGTAAAAGTCAATTCAAGTATACCTATTTTTCTTACATTTCTCATCTAAACGAACATCTTCCAGCAGTTCAAAAAATAGCTCATTCTAAACGCCCATGAAAAAAATATTACGAGTCTTTATTGGTCATTCAATCTAAGGAAATACTCAAAAAATCGACTACCAAAAATCACTCGTAATCTTTTTGTTAATTTGTACTTGTTAACACAGACATTTAACATAGCTGTTTGTCGTATGTATTCTAAAGTTACTGTAGTTTTAACGAGTAATGTATAATTTTTTTTCTTAGCAAATAGATTTTAGCGTATGTAGTATGTATCTCTGTGTGTAGTGTAGTATGCGGCGTTACAATGTCGCAGATGCACTGTAGCAGTCGTTCTGAATAAAGTAGTTTACATGAAGTAGAATATATTATGCTTGTTCGATACCTCTTTTTGATTATTGCTTGAGAGATACGGCCCTAAAGTCGGCCCTACGATCTCCGAAAACTAGTTTTGAGTTTGGCTAAGTTGTTATTAACATTTTATACAAGTCGTCGATGATCGAGGTTCATGTTTTAACTTATTTTTCGCACCCTGTAGACTTTTTTTCATTAAACCTTTTTTTTCGATTCTTACGCTAATCATAAATCCGATAAATAATTAAATACGTCTAGATTAAAAAATACTTTTAGTGTAAAAGTTCTCCGGAAAGTTGTAATTGAGTTGCTAATTCTCCTGCGAGAGTAAATAAGTTAAAAACGAATCTCCAAGTAAAAAAAAACGAGGCGAAGTAAATTTTTAATCGGTTTGCTTCCTTAAAAAAAAGGGAAATTTTATTTTAATTGCACTTCTCATCCGCTTATTAAACATTCAAATTTCGTTTATCCCGTAAATTTTTGGTTTGTCTTTCCTAATGGCCCATCGAACCGATTAAAAATCCCGATGTTTCTATAGTCATAGTCTAATCACCGCTTTCTGTGATAACCGATATATGGTTTTTACTCACTGCACGGTCTGTGTCTGTAGCTGTATCCGTGCCTTAATTAATTTTATCGCGACGCGGACCGCAAATCCACGGTGGTGACTTTTTCTTACGCATTCTATGGAACTATTTCCAACGGGAAACTCCTCTACACGACTATCTCCGGTGATTAATCGCTCATACCTTTCTCAAACCTATCATCTACACAATAGTTACGAAGTAGTTCCATAAAATCCCATTATTGAAATATTACCGATAAAAGCGTTCGTGGGAATTTAACTACTGCTAAGGACATACTATGGGATTCAGCTTAAAAAGTAAAAGTGCTAATTACAATGTCTACGTTGTAGTGAAGAAGTTGATGGTAGAGAGGTAGGATTTAGTCTGTTTTTGTTTTGGTTCAGTCTTAGTTTAATTTTGTTTGTGGATGCAGTAGTTTAAATATTTTACATATCGCATTAGGTGCGAATATTGCAGCTTTGGTGAAAAATATTGGGGTATGTAGAGGATTTGTAGGTAAGTATTTTTAGTAATAGGCAATCCAATATATGCAAGTAAGAGGGGGAGGAGAGAAGACAAACTGTTGCCTATCTGTTAGGAGTAAAATAATCAAAATTCTTATCAATAAACCTCTGCATACCCAATAATTTTTGCCAATGGTACAATATTTACCCTGTAGATAAAAAACAACTAGTTGAAGGACCAAAATACAGTTTCTAATATACTCTTCTTACGCTAGAGATTTTCTACATAAAACATAACACATCAATCATTGAAGATGCTTCTACGATATTGAAATATTTCCCGGCATCGACGCGAACAATTTTAATCAATTTAGAGAATATACTTTTTAGAATAGCATCGAATTAAAATTGTTTGTAGATAAAAAATATAGTAATTAAAAATATACAAAGGTCGACTAAAAAATAAGAAAAAATAACAGTTGCCTTGTCGTCTTCCTTATCGAGTCTTACGAGACAGTACAGACTTAATAATTCATTATTCTAATAATAATCTGTGCGTAGATTTTTTTGAAATTAGTACTCGTAGTTACCTGGCCTAAGATAATAAATAATTTAGACTATACGACATATCTCATTACACAGACTTTAGCGTTTAAGGGATGGGGCATTTAAACCACGACAGCAAGCAAACTTTCCTACGAATAATAAATTTTCCCGCGGTAGAAGAAAATGCAGGTAGATGCGAACAGTTTCGGGCTGTTATCATTTAAATGCCCGATCCGCAAAAACTATATGTAAACGAGACAATTCGAAAGGATCAATTTTAGTGATGTATTTTCAAAATTATATATTGAGATCGACGTATTTCTATTTGAAAATTATAAGTAGTTGTTAATTATTGACGAAGCGGAAAAGCATTCCAGGAATTATTCATGTAAACCATTGTGATGTACAAATTTTACCCTATTTAATTATTTATTAAATAAAAAAGTGTAAATCATTCAAACGAGATTTCTTTCGTTTCGATCGAAGTTTTAAGTTATTCGTTTTTTGATAATGAAACCCGCCTCTCACCGAACTTCTTTTTTACAATATTTAATATAAGTTGAAGGGAAATTGTGGAGAAGAAAAGGTAAGTGCAATTGATTTACTTACAGCGTAATTCCTTGCGTAAAATTTAAAAGTAAACGGTTTGTTCTGAAATAAAATAAAATTATAATAAATTATCAGATTTTTTAAGAGGACATTAATGTTACCTTTGTTCCTTTGAAAAAGAACGGCCCGTAGGGATCCCCGAACTAAAATATGCCTGGATTAATTTCCGTATATTTTAATAAAATATTTTTTACTTACAACTCGGGCTGCCCATAATACTTTTGGTTTATCAGACATGGTTACTAAAAATTTTGTATGGAAGAAAGTAAATTCAAATTTTAAACGGACATGACGTTAATGTCACAATGTCAAATTGAATATGTCAATCTGTAATTTCTACAGGGCGATTTTTCTAAATATAATTTCACTAACGATTATACTAATTATAAGTACCAAAAATTTGATTGAATAACAATTATTATCTTTTATAAATAGTTTTGTAAGAAATATGTATGAAGGTAGGTGGGAGAAGGATGAAAAGGAATAAATACAAATTATCTAATAATTTATTTAGGTACCTAATACATTATTAATCAGTCAAATACAAACATTCTGTGCTGTAAATACATTGCAAAATGGACCTCATCAACTTAATTTCATAACGAAATAATATCAAATTAGGTATGAACAATTCGAACAACAAAACAATTAACGATATGCAATTAAAATATTATTTTTACACATTTTCCTACCACTATAAATCGACTCTCTAATATTCGCAATAATTATTGTCTAAATGCAAGGATTGTATTGAGGCTCCATGCTAACATGATCGCACAGTACTCTATCGTTAGGATTCACCACCGGTATCCTGAATAATTTCCCCAAAGGCATGCACACGCAAATTTTAAACTGCGACGTGATGTAATTATTGTTCAACTTAGCGACCGGTATCCTGTCCACGTCGATGAAAACCCCTTCCTTTCCCAGCAACACCAACGAACCGTTGATGCTTTTCAAATGGACATCCTGATCGGCCAGCCATTTCACGGTCTTGCTGAACACATTAGTGCCTTCTGCTCCTTTCAGATTAATCGAGTCCCCTTCGACGGTGAGTTTCTCGTCTACGGGGCTCCTTATTCTGTTCGTTCTCGTGTGCTTCGTTCGCATGTTCTTCACGTTTTTTAGGTTCGCGTACGTCGGCTGGTCGACGGTGAAGATCAGCTCGTCCTGGTGGTTTCTCACCTCGAAGGAATTCACGCCCCTGAAGAAGGTCTCGTTGGGGTCTATCTTGGCTTTCAGCGAGCCCCGGCCGTTCTTCACTAGATTCAATTGTATGGAGTTGTGGTAGGAGGTTATCCGCATCGGCTCGTCCCCGAAGGACTCCACTTTACCGTCTCTTTTGTACACTTGATCCAAGTTCGCCTCGCCGAAGAATTTTATGGCCTGTTTCTCCGGGACCAGCTCTATGCTTTGCATACCTGCAACGTTAAATTACTAGATGTGTTTGGGCAACTCTGTATTATTTATATTGTATAAATACTTTCTATCGTGTAATTGCGATTTATACAACAATAACATCCTGTTTGCGATTAGACTCACCGTGACCTAATTTTAAAACACCGATAATCGTGACGGTAAGGACCAAATTTCCAATCACCAATATAAACAGCAACACCAGCAAAGTCCAAAAAGCGAAGGTTTTCCTGCCCCTCATTCCGGGCTTGGTGTTTTCGACGGGCATGTAGCCCGCCTTGAAGTTGTTCTTGAATTTGGGCACTGTGCGGTTCGAAACGGCCTTCTCCTTCGCGGACCCGGCGTCCATTTCCTCCGAAAAGGGCTCGGACGATTGGGAGCTCGATCGGCACTCCATTTTTCCCGTGTTTCATCGAAACATCGCGTTCGATTCGTGACGTTTACGCTCGGGGAATAATTGACCTGTTTACGGCGTCGCGGCGCGCCTGAGCGTATCGACGCCGCGCTCGTAATAGAGATGGAACCCTCATTTTATAAGTAACTGTTATATAATCACGATAAAAAAGAACGATATATGAAAAAAGTTTATTCAAAAATAATACTTCATGTTTAATTGAATTGTAAGTTGTTAAATTAGTTAGGGAATAATTCGTCGTAGGTGAATTTGGTGCAAATTATGTTGGAGATTTCGGTGAATTTCTCAGATAGGGCGTCCTCCAGGTTGGGTTTGATTTCGTTGATGAAAATGTCGGAGTTTTCGTTGACCACCTCGTTGGTAGCCCTACCCAGACCCTCTTGGTCGGCGAAGAGGTTGCCCAAATGGAGTTTCGCGTGGCCAATGTGGGAGAGTTTCATGCCTATCTTCCTGAAATTCAAGTGCTTCACGCCATTGATGTTGATGAGTTTCCCGCGGAGCAACACTTCCAACGTGAGATCAGCTATAAGAAAAAAAATTAGATGATAAAGTATATTCTCGTTGGTTGTAGTAGAGGTGCTTACTGAAATTTCCCGTCAAAGGACCTTGTCCTTTATACTTCAAAATCAGAACGTTCATGTCTATATCGTAGTCGCCCTTGAAGAAGATGTGCGGTATGACGGCTTTGAACAGGAATCTGTTTTTTTCAACGTCCGGTCTAAAAAAATTTGAATATTTTTTTTGTAAAAACCGACGAGAAGTGGCTAAACCGGCTTACACTAAATTTGGAAGTTCGAAAGCACTGGCTCCGTATACGAGGAGATTGGTAATGTTAGCGTCGATTTTAGCAGAGCTAGGGCCGCTTCTCAGTTTTATGGTGTCTAGTAGAAGAGGCTCTAAGGGAGGCACTTCCAATTCGGAAATGCCCTCGGCTAGTTTCGGCTTCAGCGACATTACTGAATTTATTATGCATTTTGCTAGGTCAGGATTCGATTTCTTGCATACTTTTATGTAGGAAGCTGGAATATAAATATGCATGATTTTATAGAATTAAAAATGATGATATTGGATGATAATTAAATAACTAACAGTCAATTTCATGGTGAAATTTTATAGTGACATTGACTATAAAGTCTTTGAAGATGACCTCTCTTAATTTTACCTTCTTAATTTGTTCAAAAATATGCAAATTTTTTATTACCATCCCATTTTAATCTAAAATTGTGCAAGTTTAACTTATATTTGTTATTGTTATTATTTAAACCGCATTTTAATTCAAGTTTAATTCTAATGCAATGCATTACGGGTGCATTAATTGTAAGATAAGTATCTAATGGTTCATTCATTATGCATGAATTTTCCGTTGACGTGCGTTCTTTAAAATTTATAATTGCAATTGATTTTTGCACTTTGGTTTTCTTAGTTTTTTTAAATGGTTTTATTATTAAAATAAATGATGTAAATAAAGAATAATTTTCTGCTGTTAAGTGTGACCTTGTTTGGAAAATATCAAATTTCCATTCGTTTTATCAAAATTTTCTGGTCATTATTGGGTTTTAATTAAAGTTTATGTTGGTTTTGTCTTGGAGGTGTTATTCAAAAGGTGTTAATTACAAAAAGGTAAGTTTATTCAATTAGAAATTTAATTTTAAAATTAATACAAAAATAAAGAAAAACTCATAGATAAAACGCGCATTAATTAAAAACTTTTTCTGACAATAAATTGGAGAAAACTCGAAAAACCACCATAGAAATCAAGAAGTTATACTTTTATTTTTTAGACAAATTTTCAAACATCAGTAATTTCCTTTTTTTTTATATATAAAAAAATCAAACTTACGCAATTCAGCAAGCGCCAAACCAACAGCAAACGACAAAATCAAAATATATTTCATATTTTGCACCGATATTGCACCGATTTTACCGGATCGAACGTCAATCAATTTTTGATCCTCGATTCACCACAGAACACCTTTTTAATACTTTTGTGGTAGCCCGAGCAGACCTTGAGCACACGTTACGTTTTATTCGCATTGCAATTAGGAGGTAATCTACCTTTAATTTACACTGGTAAACTTGTGTTCTTAACATACGCGTCGACCCTATTAAACAAAATGTCCAAATCCTTATTAAGTAATAGTCGCGCGATGTTAGAATACCAATTTTTTTCATTTACTACTAAAGAAGTTACTCTGTAGGGTAAGGTGATTCGAAATTGATTATTGATTTATTGATTGAAGTGTTAATTGGAGCTTTTTTTAAAAGTTGGCCAAGAATGTCAAAATTTGAGTTGGTAAAACTGATGGTTATTTTGGCGCATTGTAATTTTAAATATGTCTATTTAGAGATAATTTAAATTGATAAGAATTTGACATATCTTATCGATAGCTTGGGAATAGTATAAATACTTCAAAATAAAACAAAAATGATTATATCTACATTTTGGATAGCACTCATCAGTGTTTAATTGCTTGAGTAAATAGTAGATATTTTTTAATTAATAATCTCTTCTATTTCCAAATACATTTAATAAATAAAAAGTCTTGTCGCCTAAAAATGAATTACGACTATGAATTTCAAAGGCATTTATGACATGCACGTTTTCAAAAAACATACAATAAACATAAATCCTTATCAACGTTTTGATAAATCCCTGATAGGAGGCAAACAACTCATACAGGTATGTAAGTTAAGTAGGCATATCTCAGCCAAGGCAGGAGATAAACATTGAGAAAAACAATCTTGTGCCAACTTATTTCGAAATAATTAATATATATGGCAGCTCAAATATTTGACTTGTGTGCGAATTTCGCTGAGTAGGTACTAGACTCGATGTGGAGGATTCGAAAAATCGGGCAAAATTTATTCGAAACGTGTCGCGTTCAAATGAATTGGCAGCCAACGGATCCGTCCGAGGTCCGTCCAAAAAATGTTTTGAACTTTTTTCGGTTTTGACATTTTTAGCCGACTATTGATAAAAAATTTAGTGCTCTATTGGAAGAACAATAGCTCGTACAATAATGGCTCGTATGTGTAGAAGGGTTAGTTTTCGTCTTATTGAGAATGATAGAATTTTGAATTCAAGTTTGTTTTTTTCAGAGCTCTTCTATTAAAAAAGAGTTTAGTGAGAATGAATTGGAAGGTAAGAGTTGTTTGTCTGTTGAACCGTCCGTTAATTTATTTGTTGAAAATTTTTGAATTTTTATGAAGTGCTTCGATAGAATTTATATGTTTTAATTAAAAATTTTCAACAACAGTACGTGGTAACGACAGCCATTTTTTCGCAGAATTTATTATATGCTATAATCAAAGTTGATTTGATAGTGCAGGTGATTTTAGTATAGAATTTATTAAATCATATCATATAGGCTTTGTTTCAGTATTAGGTACAAGCACATATTACTTATTATTCATATTTTCTAATTTTCCTGTAAATTGCTAACTTTTTAGTTTAAAATTATACAAGATTCAAAATTATTTTATTAAATTAAGGAAATACATATTCTCTGCCAAGGTAATCTGGATTAATTTAATTTTGTGTTAAGCTGGCAAATTAACAGTTTTACTCAGGATTAACTTTCATGTTTTTAACACGCTTCCTGCACTATATTTACTCAAATCATCTGTCCGCGTAATTTGCATGTATGAAAAAGTTTCCACGAGATAAAAGTAAATATATTTTCACATAAAAGATTTTGTCATTTAGCCAATTAAACTATGTAGTCTACACTAGAGCTATAAAAATCGAAAAATAATTAATCCGGCTATTTAAATTTTTAATGGCGGTTAAGTATTATGTTTAGTCAATAATTTTGATTTGAATAAACGAACAATTTAATTGCAAATATTTTCAATATCTATTCTGTTTAGTATCCTTAATTACACGACGTTATATGTACCCATGTGTGATAATAAAGGGAAATTAACTGATCGTCAAAATGATTGATTTGATAATGACTATGTTTATATCAATTTTATAGTCAATTGTTTTCTGCAAATTTGTATAAGTACTTTGTGCATTCGAATTAAACTTTGAGGGACTAAAGAAGTTTTTCACTCTCCGTAAAAATTACGTATAAACAACGTGTCACTAACATAGAAAATGTGCTATAATATCATCGTAAAATTTCGCAATAATATTTCACCGAAATGTTTATTTACATACTTTTTCACCTTACGCATTTGGACGTTTATGAATCGTAAATACGATTTTAATTTTAAATCGAACCGCCACGTCCGCCACTACCTCATCCCGTTCGCATTTTAAAATAATCTATCCGTACGGGTTTAAATCAAAAAATAACACTTGGTCCCCTGCCAATATTATTTTTATATCTCCGCCAAATAAATATGTAAAATATACGCCGGATTCCTCAATTACATTGCACGTACTTAGCGTGGCGCATGCATCGCGATCAAAACATCCACCAACCTGTAACATGTCTCCTATTTTAGGACTGAAAATCGCCTTCGAATTGTTGGACAGAAACCAAGACGGGCGAGTCACGCCCGGCGAACTCAAAATCATGCTGAACAATTTGGGAATCGACCTCAGTCTCGAAAAAGCCGAGGAAATCATCAGGACGGCCAGCCACTCAGGTACACCTATTTCTATAACAAAAATACACCCACTCCTAATAAATTTGATTTTTCAGGATCGGACTTGATAGATCAAAATGATTTCCTGTCGTTCGTGAAGCTCATCCAGCAGGCCTGCCCGGGCGATGGGGACGAGGACTTAAGCAGCGATTTGAAGGCGGCTTTCGAGGTGTTTGATAACGATAGAGACGGGTTCATAACGAAGGAAGAATTGAAAACCGCTATGGAAATGATCGGGGAAGCGGTCACAGACGAGCAATTGGATCAGGTTATCAGGATGGCCGATATCGATAAGGACGGTAGGATAAATTACGAAGGTAAACGAAATTGTTTAATATGCAATTGAAGGTGTTTGTATGCATGATGTTGAGATGATCAAAAAATGCTTAGTTTTGCTTCCTTTGGCTCCATTTTGGAAGAAATTGGGGAAGACCAGATTAACACCTTCCATATATTGCATAACAGTGTGCTTCAATATGCACTTTTCTTAATCTATTGTGTATTCTAATCAATTTCTTTAGAACTATTGAACTTACTATTTTTCTTTGCAGAATTTGTCAAGATGTTAACATCTTAAAATCGAATTAATTGGGATTACTACGCCAAAAATCTGTAAATGAATTAACGAAAGGCTGTGATCTACTTGGTTAGGAAATCGTTATATTTACAAGTATTAGGTAATCAAATTTAATTAAAGCCACCCCGCATTGTTAGGTGCGATACTTGATATAAATACACGAGTTTACCTTCTACTCATTGTTGGATAATTAGAGTAATTAAAATGTAATATATAATTCTGTCGATTATTAAGTAGGTACTTATACACTGTTATCTTTCCATAAAATTTAATCAACTAAAATAGAAATTCTAATGTTTTTTTTTGTCAATTTATAAAGGGTTTTTATGGTTTACTTTTCAAGATTCTGCAACAGGAAGAAATCATTAACAATGGTAAGTCAAAGTGTATTAACATTTTTCTAAATAATCTAACATGTGGTTAATAATTTCTCAGCTAGTTAAATCTGACTCTTGATATCTTGTATCCTTTAATGCGATAATAAATGAATCAGTTTCTAATGAAACTAAAAGGTATTAGAAGTAAATAACTAGAGTGTGGAGATGAATGGTTTTTTCCACGATAAGGATTTCTGATATTTATAAGACGTATCATCAGGTGACTTTAATTGGATTACAAACTTGGGACTTATACAGAGTGTCCCGCATAAGAACCGACAAAGAGCAGGGGTTTGTAGGTTGTAGGGAAGCTCAAAACCTTTTGTTTAACCCAACTTAATAAAAAGTTACATTCCAAGTTATAGGCATCAAAGGAGAGTTAAAAATTAAAAAAATATCTCGGTAGGTACGTAATAACTCAAACTTGTAACAACTAAATTTGGTATACGTTGAGTGTACTAAGAGCATTAATCGATAGTTAGATCAATTGATCAGGGATGATGCTACCTTAAAATGTTACAGATTTTCTTTATCTGATTGATGATTTAAAAAACTATTGGTTCCTTTCATAAGAAATTTCATTATGAAACATTTTTAATTCTTTCTGTTTTTTTTTAAATTCTTTGTCGTTTTGATGAAAAACACTAAATAAAATCATGTACACATTCAATGTTACTTAAAGTTGGGTTAAACAACATATTTTAGGTTCCCCTACATGCCCCCGCTTGGTGTCGGTTCTTCTGCGGGACACCCTGTATATGGTTAACATACTTACTTATTGACTAAGAAATAAGAAAGTGCCCTTTTGAAGAGTCCACAGCGCTTAATTTAACTACATAAAACGACAAATCAAATACGAACGTTAAAAATAAATTTATTAACTCAATTTTCCAAATATAAATTTTATTGCGTAGAAAGCTTATACAAGACGCGAGAACAACTTTGCATTTTTTTTGTTTAAATAACAATAATAAAAACAGGTCGGAAATTGAAATAGATTTTATATCTAATCTAATTGTAAATTAAATATCGTCTTTATCGAAAAATAGTTTTAATATATTATATTTCTTTAGTGTTTCTGCTGTTGGAAAAATTTGACATAACATCAACTACAAATCTTACAAGATAATAACTTGAGTAGATACACAAAATGCATTCGGAAAATATAAAAGTCGAAAAAACAAGCAGGTAAATGGCCTTGATTCAATAGCTTAAATATAAAAGATACCTGTTGAATGAGTCACCAGGATGTACAGCTAATCATGTTATTTCTTATCGTTTTTCATTTTAAATATCATAACACAGATTTATAGGAAAACGATTTTATTCTTAGAATACATTATATTGAAAAAATGTTTTTAAAGCTATTACAGTAAATAGGCAACTGGCAGAAATACAATATTTAGAATAACAACATTACGTTGCCGACAAATGAATATATAAATTGAAATTATTAAAAAAGTGAAACGATATGGAGAATTCGATTAACTTATGTGCGTAACAGACCCCAGGACAATTACTTTTCTACAGGATTGATAGTCAAATTGGGTGTAATTAACTCCACGTGCTTATGTATGGACACCACAAGTAATTGTATAAACACATTTTTTTGACATTATGCAATAAATATCCGAGTACTTTTGATTTTATTTACCACCTCTCCTTTACAAAATAGATGTATCCATATAGTAATACATTGCAAATAATTAACATAAGGTACAAACTTCTGCGATTACTTTTACAACTATTACAAAAAGGTAATTGCAAACATAACTCGTCTTCAGAAAAGAGGCAGTTGGTTAATTGTAATAAAACAATTCCTTTATTAACAATCAAGAAAAGTAATTGCCGGTATCGCTGCTACGATTCCGTAAAATGTAAATATTATAAAATGATATATATTTTTATATATAGATTTAAATTAGTAAAATGAATAATATACGTGGACGTTTGATACGTTCTATTTATCTGTTTTGTGCTCAGGACGCTCGATTAATATTTTCATGGATGAATCGAACAAGTATCTACTGAAACGTCGGAAAAATTTAATTTACACTCGTTAGTTATTATGGAAGAAAATCCTACTAATTTATCATTTAGTTTTCAAAATCCTTACAAATATCATCAATTCCCCATGAAAATTTAGCAAACAATCTAATATCCTTAAAGAAGACAAACTCTACACCTAAAAATGTTTACATTTCCGCGAATGTATTGAAATTTCACAAAAGTTTTATATAAATACGGATCGATGATAGTGAAAAAACATTATTTTCTTTTGATGTAGGTTGTCTTTTTAGGGACTATAAATATATAATACGTAAATTACAACTAAAAAATGTTAATTGTTGTCCACAAAGGAAATAAGGAATATAAACGAAATGACAACTAAAGAGAAAAATAAGGGGTTTTATTATAATAATTATTATTTTTTTTGTTAGTCAATACATCATGCTGAAGCCCCTTCGAAAAAAAATTAACACACGTAACGATTAATATAAAATATAGAAATATTTGCTCAAAACATTACGCAACGATGCTTCTTCTTCTTTTTGACTTGCAGTGCAGCACGGGTGGCATTCTCGAATACTTCTCTGACGCCCTCCTTACTTTTAGCCGAACATTCTAAATACGCAAAGGCGTTTATTTTTTCAGCCATAGATCGACCGTCTTGCGGCTTGACAGGCTCTTGCTTCATTTTTTTAAGTTCATTAATGGTAGTCGGATCGTTACGCAGATCCTTTTTATTGCCTACCAGGATAATTGGCACATTCGGACAAAAATGTTTTACCTCCGGCGTCCACTTTTCCGGGATGTTTTCTAAGGAATCCGGCGAATCGACCGAGAAACACATTAAAATCACGTCGGTGTCTGGATATGAAAGGGGACGCAGGCGATCGTAGTCTTCTTGGCCTGCGGTATCCCATAAGGCGAGTTCCACTTGCTTACCATCCACCTCGATGTCCGCCACATAATTTTCGAATACGGTGGGCACGTACACTTCCGGGAATTGATCTTTACTAAATACTATTAGAAGACACGTTTTACCGCAGGCTCCGTCGCCGACGATCACTAATTTTTTTCTTATTGCAGCCATCGGACCTGCCAAAACACAAAAGTTAACGCCTATTCAACTACCAAAACTAAAATGGCGGACATTAAATAAATCACCAAAGCAAGAGCGGGGATAAGAAGACAGATAACGAGCATGCAAAAAACGCACCCTTGCCGTAGTCCTCTTTGTCCGAACAACAACACAACATTCAGAGCACTTGTTGCCTAATTATTATTATTATTTTACCTATTATTGTATTTCAAACTCTATTTTAATAAAAATAAAACCTAATAACTGGTAAAGATAAAATAAACAAATCAAGTAAAACTCAACTGTCAAAGTCTGACGCAGTCGCAAGCGCAGGCGTATTACAAATGTCAGTACAAAACGACACGTATCTTATCTACTATCCTTTATTTACACGTTATTTTCCAGCTTCTATCTTTTTTCAATTTCAACCCCATTTCAGTTCTAGTGTACCGATAATAACCGAAACGAACGTACGAAATCGTTCCTCTATTTAGCCGAAACTAAAAATAATCTTGAGATCATAATTCGAACAATGTTTAACGTTCGAATCAAAATAAAGTACCTCCAAGAAACCAATAAAATAAATTCCAAGATCTCTGATGCTATAAATCAATTAAAAATTTCAAATATTTGTGTACCGTGAATCCAATCAAGTACAAGGCCACTTATCACAATTTCAAATATTCGTTATAATTATTTTTTGTTTTTATCATTTGAAACTATAATTGTAAAACAAAAATAAACAACTTTAAATATAAAACATATATTTTCATAATATATTTTAACAAATATGTTACTTTTTTAAACATATAAAGGCGCAAGTTTTAAAATATTTACAAGAATAGAGCATTACAAGGTGTCTAATCCTAATCCTATTATACTAATTTCTAATTAATGCCAATAAAATAATTAACTTAAAAAGTTGCAATTTGTGTTTTCTTATTTAATCCTATATAAATTAACTATTTTCAACCTGATTCGTTTGCAAATACAGTTTATTCCAGCAAATCACGGATTTCCAATTGTTGCAAAATCCTCTATTATTAGGCCGATGGGCAGTCAAAGCCATACATAATTTAGACCCGAAAGATAATCGAGTCCACTCTTTCAACGACAATCCCAACGAAACCAACAGCAATTGCTGGCACAGTAGAATTAACAGCAGTAAGGCAATTATAATGCTGTACACAGCCGATACGAACGAAAAACTCAATCTGAAACCAATCGAAAACAAGTAGAAATACGTTTATCATTTAGTTCAATGCTTACTCGAACAATTTATAAACTTCCGAGCAATCATCGGGTAGCAGAATAGTCTTGAAAAAACTGAATGGATGGCAAACCGATGTTAATGTTAAATTCGAACTGTAGAGCAAAGCACTAATGGCAAATAACAACGACAGTATAAAACTGCACTGGTTATGTTTGCCGACGCAGCAATCGAACCTAAAAATTAATACAAATATTACACAAAAATATCACAAATTCGAAACCTCACCAAATACAATGATGATCTTTATCAGGAACTTTAACTTGGCATTTGGAGCAATTCACCCATTTGCAGCTAAACTGGCCGGTGTAACCGTACTCAGCGTCTCCCAATCTCGGTAGGTGTTGAGTCCTTTTTTTCATGATATAAACACACATGACGAAACCGAAAATGAGTACACTCAAAGCGATGTTTTCTATTAAAAGGATCTCCAAAAAAGGAATTACGATGAACTCGAATATGACGTATAAAGTGACCAGGGACATGCACGTCCACACGAAGAAAAATTTCGTAAACGGTATCGTTCGGATCAGAAAACTCGAAATGAATACCAAAAAAATCAGCACGGTGGTAAATGAGAATATCGTCCACCAAACACTGATTGAGGCTATAAGCAGCATACAGGGTATGATAAATACCGGTAGAATGGCATCGAATGCTATTTGTTTCGCACCACCTCTCCAAGGTATTCTGAGTCGATCTTGTATGGTCATTATTACAGCTTGTCTACGTTTATCTGGCACGCTCCGTCCACTTATGAATCTACATAATAAATCAATAATATGATTGAATAATTAATACAAAAATCTTTACTACCTTTCGAACGCTTCATCTAAGTCTTCGCAATTACAACAGCACGCTAAAATGTGATTTCTCTCGTAATTAATATCATAATATTCGCAGCAACATAATGCCGAATTATCATCCATTTTTAATATTTTTATTATCCATTTTTTCCAGTACAAGACAATCAATTACTATCTCAAAACCTTTGGGAGCATTAGATATGCAAATCAAAACAACTAAACACCTATGACATTTAAACATAACCAAACTTTTAATTGTCACGTTTATTTGACATTTTCGTTCGTTTGGTTGAATCTGGAGTCTAAAAGTTACACTAATATTTTAGTTTAGTCCGACAAAATCGTTTGTATTTAGTTTTATCAATCTACCAATGACAAAAAATAGTTTAAAATATGTTAAGTAAATTTATCCAGTAAATATCGACATATTTATGAAATTTCATAATAGGTTTGTTCGTTTGTTCTTCTTTCAAAATAAACCATTGTTCAAAATTATCGATTAAAAATAAACAGAAGAAGAATTTGAGGTTTTTATTGTTTTATTCGGCAAATTTGAATAAATAAAAAGTGTGTATAGAGATATTCATAGTCGAATAAAAACCGCAATGAAAATTTTAGAGAATTTAATTTCACATACATGTATAAATATTCACATTTATCTCATTTACTAAGTAGGTATATAAAATATGGTTCATTACACAAATTGTAGTACACAAACAACAATAGATTATATTTTCTATATGAATAATTACCTCATCAACCGAATGAATTTTGTACATTAACAGTATTAGCAGTGGGATTTTCATCTTCGTCTTCTTCTTCCTCCTCGTTGGTCTGCTCTTTGGTCTCGTCCACTTGGCCCATCAGTGCTCTGTACTTCTTAGCTATGGCCTCCCAATCAGTCACGTGCTCTATTCTGGTGGTTTGAAGGGAGAAACTCAATTGGGAGCCACGAGGGCTCAGATGGGCTACAGACAGAGCGACCGATTCTTTCGGCGCTATCTGCCTGCCTTTCTTCACTTTCGACAGCCATTTCTGGCCCGCTTTCGATCTGGGGCTCAACTGAGTGTTGCGCTGGAAGGTCCCCATGAGATGGACCAGACTCTGGCGCTTCCTCGTTTTCACTGGAATAAATTCTGTTTTCCACAGGTGTTACTATTGATCAACTACATGAAACTAGATGGTATAACTAGTAATAATTAAGATTGTTGTTATTAGATATTGAAGATTAATTTTAATGTGGTTTATAGCGTATGATATAACTAATGACTCTAAATGAAAATCTCACCTTTCTTCTTGCAAACTTCAACTAAGTAAAATAACCAGGTGGTTATCAGATTGATGGGGGAAGGAGCTGTAGTTGTCCTGTGCATAGACCTGATGAGTTTGCTCAGTCCGAATTTCCACTCTATATCTGATTGGGCCTGATAAAAAAATAATATTTTAGTATCACATTTTATATACATTTACGTATCCACATTAAACCAAACACATAAACGATTTCTGTGTCCTTCGACGATTTCCTCGGGTGCTTTGTATTTCTTATTCCTTTCCCTAATCAGTGTTACAGTAGTCTATAAAAGCACAATATAAGCCAAGCAATTCTATTTTGCCAACTAATGAAGTAAGTGTGCGATGCTTCCTTAGTATGTCCAAAGTAATAAGGCGACATTATGTGTATAGTTCATTTAAATATTTCAACTTTGTGATGTCATTGTCGTATTAGTGTGAACGTACTTTCTACCGTAGTTGTAATAAAGAAGTAGTCATCCAGTCCAAGAGAACTGGTGCGCTTTAAGCGACCTACAACACCAAAGGCGTGACGCAGGTTTGTACCCTTTGTCGTGGGTACTTTGCAAATTTTTTGTAATTGACAATTCTTCAGTTTCCTTGTGATCCTCCTTCAGATCCTCCTTTAGATTTTCCTTCAGATCTTCTTATGAGGATCATCAATAGGTTTTAGTAAATGGTTTGGCATTGAGAGGAATTAACGAAGTATTTGATAGTAATGATATTGAAATTGGAGATGATATGAAAGAGAATCTTGGAAATATGAGATAAAGACAAAGAGTAAAAACCGTACGGAAGGAAAAGCGTGATGGTAGCACCAGACCTATGTTTTGAGCTACCTTGTTATTACCTGAATGCGTTGATAGGTATCGGTCATCATGGCAATGAGTAGATTAATCAGCACGACGACAGACACCAACATGTACACACCGTAAACGATTTTAAAAAGCACCTCCGTCCAAGGGGGTTGATTATTAGAGCGATTAATACTATTCGGCCCGTAGCTTTTCAGTTGCTCGGTCGATGTTTGGCCGAACACCGCGAAAAACAGCAACTCGAAAGCGCTGATAGGACTCTTTTGGACTGGAATCACAAAAACAAAAAGCGAATTACCTGAATGCGCTGGTATGTGTCCGACATCATGGCAATGAGTAGGTTAATGAGCACAACCACCGATACCAACATGTAGATGCCGAATACCACTTTGAAGAGGTTGTTCGTCCACAGCGGCCTATACGGGGTGAGTTTCGGATCTCTGGGCTTCACCATCAGTTCGTCGTAGGTCGTTTGGCCGAAGACGGCGAAAAATAACAGCTCGAACGCCAAAATGGGGTTCATTTTCACTAGGAAAATTACCAAGTTTATCAATTTTTTTTAGCGCCAGGCTTCTTTTCGCCAGGCATGCCAAATTATTAGACGCAACACTATGTACGAAAAACATGCCAAATATAATTCAGCCATTATTTACAGCGAAAAAATATGTAGATTGGACATTGCTCGAGAACTCAATAATTAAGCAAATATTAGGAAAAATATAGATGAAGATGACATATTGTAATATATTACAAGAAGGATTTTTATATACAGGGTTAAAGCATTTCAAAAATACATAGCTGTTTCTGTTAATTCCATAGATATTAGTTGGTGAAGAAGACCTACAATGATGGATTTTAGACACTTACAAAAATTAGGAAGAAAGTGTATAAGAAATATAACTAGAAGAAAAATTTAGGTATAAAAAAAACCTTAAAATTACTTTAAAAGTTTAAATTATACTAGAAATAATAATTAAAACCCCACAGTTTCCCATAATATTAATAACCACCGACGACTTATAAGGCAGTTACAAGTACATAAACAAATTTATTTGGCATATTCTTCAAACTAACGACGACAACTTTACAACTTTAATTACGAAAACAGAACTAAAACACAAGACGTACACAAAAGGACGTAGAACACACATCTATTAACGGAACGGGAACAAATACTTAAGCTCACGCGATACACCTAAGAACATTTACCTAGAAAATACAGCACAACGTCACAGAGAAAACAATTAAGGTATTCTTCGTGAGAGTAGATGAGGACAAAGAACAGAGAGAGCCACAGCGGTAAAAGGCCACACATTTAGGACTTACTCCCTGATACCGGTGGACGTTTTTTGCGCAGATTAGCCCTTGGTAACGGTTGGTTGTAACTCAAATTTTCTATCCATTCCGTATCGTTAGCGAACAGGTCTGGGTCTGATTTTTGAAAAAAGAATTATTTTTTCCAAAATATAATACAAATGGTACAAGTCTGTTTTGTTCGTTAGGAAGCTGATAAAAGTGGAGTATGGAAATAATTATTGTTAATAACAAGTACAAAAATTTATAAATCTGTTCACACGTAAATTACAATATTTCAGTCACATTTTCTGACTAATTATTGTGATTTCTTTAGGAACAGAATATCTGAATTTATCTGATAAAAATCGTGTACCTACCTATTGATTTTTGTATTTGTTTCGTTTTGCTTTGAAAAATAGAAAATGTGTGTAAATGGTGCAAAATATTGTGTGCTGATTTTTAAATGTCGTTTAGTAGAGTTAAGGCTGTAAAAAAGAGTTTTAAAGCTTAAATTTTGAGTTTCTTGATTTATATACAAAATTTATAGAAATGAACTTAGATTTTTTTCACAAATATACTCCCATATTTCTTTTGAAATTACAAAATACCTAGCTTTCATTAAAAATTTGTAAAAAAACTAGACCTGCATTTAGTAAAAAAATATCAATATTATATTTGTTCATTTCTATAACAAAAACGAGAAGTTAAAACCATTAAAAGAAATAATAATGTACTTACCATCGACGAAATGACCTGGTTTAAGAACGCCCAGCCTGTTAAGCCTCGTCAGATCGTTGCTGTTCAAATTCGCGAACGGTTGATTCAAAGCGACGAATTGCATGGAAAATCCGAACACAAAAATCGCCAAAACGGCCAAAAATCTCGCCAGATCCTTCATCAAATTGCCGATAATTATGGCCCACGGTCCGAACAGGTGATGGAACGACAGGAAATCCAAAATCTGCACGCAAGCTAGTACGAAACTTAAAGCGAACAATTGATTCCTACAATACAACATCGTCGGCCAGTAGACTTTGTCTATGAATAGAAAAGCTAATAAATGCACGCCGACGCCGAATATGCTGAACAGCAGCACCGATATTTTGATCCAACCCAAGCCCGATTTATCGCTCGGGTTGGTCAATTCGAAGAGCAGCAAACCGCTTAGCCACACCAACAGCACCCATTCGTACGAATAGGGCAGCAAACTCTTCCTTACTACCGGAAACGGCGGCGTTATGCCCACTATCAACAACCAAATCATCAGGTAGACGTGAGACGTCAAATACGACATGAACTTTATTATCGGTACTTTGTAGTACTTGTGACCTAACGGTAGAGTGAAGGCTATCCACACCGGTGGACAGATTATGAAAAGCACGAACAGCAGGAGAGTACGCCACGCCGCCCAATTGAGCGCTCCTCTCCACAGTTCCTGCAACAAATCGGCTCATCAAAATTAACTTCTTTGCGATAATAAAGTGCCAGACAGTGTGCGTACGAATTTACCTATCGTTTACCTGAAGGTAACGTTGCACCACCGTGTGCGCTATAACTTCCTTCTGCTCGTTTTCGATGAGGACGTCCAGGAATTCCACGTTCCTTCTGTCGGTAGCCGTGAGGATTTTCCCGGCGGAATCGGCTCCAGCGGCAAGCGCCAGCAATTCGGTCGCCATGGCTTCGCAGAATTTCCCAGCAGCTATCAGATCCTTGGCCCTTTCCTTCTCTTTGTTCGACAGAACGATCAAAATATTTGATAACTTAGCAGCGGTGTCCACAGGCGCCGGAGACACCAAAATAAATTCCTCGATTGGTTTGTTGTTATGGTTCTTAGAGCACACCATTAAGTTGTAAACGAACCTTCTGTCTTCCATTAGAGCGTACGTGTCGTGTTCTTTGGTCATTAGATACTCCAAAACAGCGTGATGGCCTTCTGAAGCTGCGAACCAAATGGGCGCAGCACCGAGGTTGGTTTCAGATTTCGGGGAAGCCCCGGATTCGACTAGCAGCTTCACTACATCGAAGCAACCAGCTCTAGCTGCGCAATGCAAAGGCGTCCAACCGTTTTTATCCTGAGCGTTTATCTCGGCTCCTTGACCTATTAGCGATTGTTAAATTACTATAGTATCCAAAGAAAAGTAGTAAAAACCAATTTTTACCTAAAAGTACTTCAACCATTTGGTAATGCCCATGCGTAGCAGCTATATGAAGGCCAGTTTTGCCGTGTTTGTCGTGACTTTGCAACAATTCAGCCGACCTACTCAGCAGCAAACCTACCACAGTTCCGTGACCACCGTAACAAGCTAAATGCATTGGATTGTAACCCTTTAAACAAATATTTACGCTCAATTTATGAACTAGTAATTGGTTAAAGCAGCTTACGTTTTCGTGGGTGGCTGCATCAACTTGCACTCCCGCGGAATTGAGGAGCAGCCTTACGACGTTCTCGTTGCCGGAAAAAGAGGCTAAATGGAGCGGCGTCATCCCCGATTCGTTGCCAAGCGTAGGAACTAATGAAGCGCCGTTTGGTACTTCAGATTTAACAGTACCCGGAACGTGGGCTAGTAACTCTCGCACGGTATCCGCTTGCCCGAAATAAGCAGCGACGTGTAGAGGTGTCACTCCGAGTTTCTTGCTGATAACCCGCAGAGTGTTAGAGGATCTTAGTACTTCGAGTACTTGTAAATGACCGTGTTGCGCAGCCAGATGAACGGCGGTGAAACCTCCTTTATTTTCATCCGTTATATTCGCTCCGGCTCTGACTAAAGCTTTCACGACTTCGGCGTGACCACCTTCAGCGGCCATTTGCAGCGGTGTAGCGTCAGTCATTTTATTCCTGGCCGAAATCACGCCTTGTCTATCGAACTTCATGAGTTCTTCAATGACAGTGACGGACCCTTGCGCTGCCGCGATGTGAGCGCAAGTGTTCCCGTCCTTAGTGGTGGCCATCACCAGGCTGGGGTGCTGCTGTAGAAACAATTTGGCAACTTCGGAATAGTTATTTTGGCAGGCCGCGTGGATGGGCTTCTGGCCTTGCTCGTCGGTGGCGTCGATGTCGGCGCCCAGCTCCAACAGCAACTTGCACACCTCTATCTGGCCGGCGGCGGCCGCCAAGTGCAGGGGCGTTTGCTTTTTGAGCGTCAGAATGTCGATGACGGCGTTGTGGTCTTTGATGAGGAACTGCACCAGGTGTATGTAGCCGTTCATCGCGGCCAGATGCAGCGCCGTTCTGCCGTTGCGCGACTTCGAATTGATGAAGGCTTTGTGGGTGAGAAGCGAATCGCACACCGGCAAATACCCTTGTTCGGCCGCCAAGTGCAAGGCCGAGCGACCCTCTAAATCGAATATGTCCACTCTCGCGTGGTTGGCCAGTAGATTGTTCACCAAATCAATATGACCTTAAGAGAAAAGAGAAACGATTGAGCCATTTATCGTAGAAGATGGGTTTGTTGCGGTATAGATACCTTTACGTGAGGCAATCAAAAGAGGCGTCCACCCGTGGTCGTTTTGTCTGTTTAGAGCCTTCTGGGAGTCGGTGGGCGACATGTGGGCTATCATTTCCATGACGACGTCGTTGTTACCGGCAACTGCGACGTAGTGGAAGGGCGATTCGTGTTTGCCTGTCATGAGTTTGACGTCGGCGCCGCTTTCTAGCAGGATCTTCGCCGTTTCTCTATCGGAATTGGGCACGACGACCTCCTCTTTGGTGACGGTGCACACGTAGTGAAGGGCGCTTTCGTCGTTCTCATTCTGCTCGTTGATGTACGAAGCGGCCTTGTCGTCGCCTTTTTTATCTTTTATATAGTTGATTAGGTGGCGGGCGACTTCTGCTTGGCACCCCCTGGAGGCTAGGTGAAGAGGAGTTTCGCCTTTCTGGATGGATATACGATTACGAGTTTGTTATGAACAATGCGTGAGTAGTGTGTACCTTATTTTTAAACAAAGGATCTCCCCCGTCTTCGAGAAGGAGCAGCAAAGTTTGCAAATTGCCGTATTTGGCCGCGACGTGAACGGGCGTTTGGCCATCGTGCGTGGCCAAATTTGGCCCGGCGCCGGATTTTAGCAGCATCAGAGCGCATTTTTCACCGTCCTTTACGCGAGCAGCTATGTGCAACGCGGTCTCCTTTAATTTGCCTCCTGAAAACGAAACAACGGTGAGTAAACCTCAATCAACAAATCAATGGCGACTTGTTGGTGTAATAACCTCGAACGTGCACGTCAGCGCCGTATCCCAGCAGGGTTTCGACGACTGCGGGCTTGCAGGACTCGACGGCGATATGCAAAGCGGTGTAATTATCCTGGAAATAAAAATTGGATCGATTTTCGCATACCTAGAGGTTTCGCGATGAACTTACATTCGTCGTGACATCGACTTTTTCTCCTTTCTGCAGCAGGGTATTGATTATTCCGACGTGACCGTATCTGGCTGCAGTGTGTATGCTCCTGGCCCCATCCTACAATCGCAACAATTCGTATTAAATCGCTTTAAAAATCCTTTGTGGCAGAATATATTAACGAACAAAGCGATATAAGTTGTTCAACGAGACGTAAATAGTCCAATATTCAAATGGAGTCTTGTAAATTTGAGGACAGGAACTGGGACATTTACATATAAAAGTAAATATTCATGAAGCGCCTACTTGGAAAGCCTTGGATTTTATCGGACTTTAAGCGAAGAATAAGATAAGAGGCTATAACTGGTATTAATGCTAGCCTTTTTTGGGCCAAAAGAATATGTAGAACGTTCAGTTTTTTAACATCATATATCCTTCAAGAACTGTCCGGATTGACTTTTAGGATATCCATGTTTGTTTTACCTTATTGGGCATATGCAGGTACACTCCCTTTTTGAAAAGCATCATGGCGCAATCGGCGTGTCCGTTGAGCGAGGCTATGTGCATCAACGTGGACCCGTCCTTGGTGCGCTCGAATATGCTGGCTTTGAATTTATCGGCGAGGAGTTCTATGATGTTAGCGTGGCCGTTTTCGGCAGCTGGTAATCAAAATTTTCAAATTTCAAATTCTAAACGTACAATCATTAGTCATACAAGATTTCTAATCGAGCGACCCACCCTTAATTCGTTTCATGCCAACGTGTAATATTTCTCGAATTTTGGTTAGATTGATAAAATAAAGTATTATTTTTTTGTTAGTTGCGAATGAATAAAACAAAATTCGATTGTCCTCTAATCGATAAACTTGAGTCGTTACTTAGAACGAAGCATTGCACGCAAAAAACAAATAATTATGGTAATTTCGCACAATAGTAAAGCTGAATTCCCTATGTTATTATAGCGAACGCTTTTTGCTCTAAGTGAACACGAATTAAAGCGCCCTGGCATGCCACAAATCTATATATTTGATTCGCTATCAGCATTTTATTTCTTTGTTTGGTTTCGTTCATTATTACCGTAGTTTTAAGCTCCGATGTTTCTACCAACGAATTAAAACTTACCGAGATGCATGGGAGTTCTATCTTGATTGTCGATGACTCCAGCAGAAGCTCTAACTCCGTAAAAATACTTCACCAACACCTCATCTCCTTCGGCAGCGGCTATGTGCAATGGAGCTTGGCCTTCACCGTTGCGGATATCCACGCTGGTTCCGTAATCGACCAATATCCTCACCTACAGTAAATCATCCTCTTTCTTAATCTGAGCTGAGCGATTTAAGAGTATCCCTCACCATGTCTATGTCTTTTCTTCGAACTGCCAAGTGGAGAGCGGTGTCTCCATTTGCAGATTGGGCTTTCAGTTGTTCCGCCGTTTGTGCGCTCAGTAATTCCCTGCACATTGACTGGTTGCCAGCTTCCACAGCCAGCAGAAGAGGGATTTTACCTCGCTGGAATAGCATCGAATTATGTACCTATCATATCGAAATTCAAGACAGTTCCATGCTAAATTTGTTCACGATAGATTTATTCGTAAACAAACGTATGGAAAAACCCCGAACGTTAAATGGTCCAACCAGCCGGATTCCGTCGCGTGTCTGATTGTAGAACCTCACCGCCTGGTACAAGCCCACAAATTCACTACGCCGCCACGAAAAGACATTACGGTTGTCAGTTTGTAGATGCATCTATGGAGTTTGTTGATACCGTGGAAAAAGCCAGTTATTTTTAACGTTTTCTCAGGATTTGCATCGCCGAAAAACGTGTAAACGTTGCGTATTTAACTACGTTTACGGGGTAATTTTAACAGGGTACTTACTCCGTCTGTTTTCAATCGGATGTCCTTTCCTGCTGCTTGCAGGAGGGCTCGAAGGATGGCCGTGGCGGTGCCGGTTTGTCTCGAGGCCACTAGATGGACGGCTGTTTGATTTCGACTCTGCGGGACACAAAATTATTTTGAAGCTGCAGGTAGATGCAGCTTAGTTGTACGTGTGCGAATATTAAAATGGCCCATGCAGTGTAAATTTTAATATCACTTTCGTGATGATTCTGAGACGTCGCTATGACGATGGCTAAACAATTTTAGCTTGTAATGGACAATAAAATCTGAACTTTCCAAAGTTTGTATTTGGGGGAATATAGGAAAATTTCAAAAATGTATATACACATAAGTGCATGAAAGTTTGCAAGAGAGAAAGTTGTAATCCCACAATATCATCCTATCTTTTTTCTTTATTAGTGTTTAATGGAAGTTGTATTTGTTGCATTGCAATATATTACATAGCCTATATTGCAAACTAAGATGGATCAACCTGTATACAAAAATTGGATTTTGATATTGATAATTGGAAAGTCTAAAGTTTATAGGTATAATTCTTATTTAATTTATTTCTTATTGATAACTTGTAAATGACTTGACTACTTGCTTAATTTATGGATGAATAATAAAAAACATGTTTTGTAAAAAATACTCTTGCTTCATTGATTGTATAAACGTTATAAATTAAAAGCATTATAATATTTAATCGATTGAAAGCCAATAATAAAAATGCTAAAAATAAAAATTACTAAATTTATTTTAATGGATATCTAGTGTGATAAAATAAACTTACCCCTCCTGTCGAATAGGGATCAACACCCCTTTTAGTAAGCAACAATTTAACAACATCCTCTCTGGAATGCATCGCCGATATATGAAGGACATTGTAATTATCCTGCGACAATAATACATCTTATATTAATATTTCAAATTAACAAGACATTGAAAAAATTAACAAATAACCTCAAATCAATCAGTATAAGATAATTACAGTATATACCTAAGGTTTTCTATATTAATTGTAAAATAAGTATAAAAATCCAAATAAACTCGTTGACATCTCAAGGTATGGATTTATTCGCCCTAAACTTATCAGATTTTTCCGAAAAATTTTCGCATAATCAACGTCGCGTGCGGAAAAAATGTAGGCCTTCGATGCGTCACGCAACGTTTCTTTGTACTTCTTGCATTTTCTTCGAAAGTCCGCACACGAAATTAGCATGTCCGATGTAGGTAAATTTCCCCGACGTATGACCGGAAAACTCGATCCATCACTCACGGGGAAATTACTGTACACAGAAAGTAGAGAATTCTACGCCGAACAATTTTTTTTGGGTATAGGGGTAGTTCTAGGTTTTTCTTCAAAGCTTTTAACACCAGGGTTTCCCCCTACTTTTATACTCCATAGTTCCTTCTTCCTAGTTTTTCTCCCTAGTTCATTCTCTCTTTATTTTTTCTCCCTAGTTTATTCTCCTTGGTTTTGTCTCTAGAATTTTCTCTATGATTTTTTCTCTATAATTCTTTGTATCTAGTTTTTTCTTTATAGCTTTTATCCTTAGTTTTCTCCCTACTTTTTACTCCCTGGTTTACATCCCTTGTTTTTTCTTCCTAGTTTGTTCCCTCTAGTCTGTATAGTACATAAAGTTATGCAAACTTTAACGATACTGCAATATTGATGTGTACCTAATTTCGGGCGTTCATCGAATCCTCAATTCAAATCGACGTTAGGTATCGTGTTGCAAGTCCCTCAATCAGACATTTTTATATTTAGAAAATAATCGATCGCCGTAGCGTAATTTATGAAATACGGTAATATTCGCGAATTAATGCGGGCATCCCGTTAACACACCACATTCGGTTAACTGGAAAATCGCAGAAGGAGCGGTTTAAGTTGATTAAAAGCGCCGCTCATCGAAAAATGATCGCTCGATACAGCCTTTTAATGTGATTAATGCCGCGATTATTTTAATAGTATCGCGCTTTTACCGCCATCATAAATCCTAATACTCGGTAATACACCTATAATTTAGCTGATTTTAGTTTAAAAAAATCATAATTTGTATCAAAGAAACAATCTGAAATAAAATTGAAGGTGCACTCACGTTGTTTCTGGCGCCGACGTCGGATCCCAGGTCGATCATCCTGTCGATGAGCGACGTCCTGTTGTCTTTGACGGCGTACATGAGAGGTGTCATCCCGGTCGCCTGGAAACAAACGGAAATCGCTTCATCTGTTTGTTCGATAGCCGGCTAATGTGATTAATTTCGTCTTTTGCGGATCGGTTTCTTTTGACGAGGACGTCGTGACATCGGCGACAAAGCCGACGCGTGGACATTGTCAGAACCGACGGGGATTGTTGTTTAGTCGATTAGGCGATTAAATTCGCGTAGCGAACGAAGAATGTTCGGTCAAAATTAAATGTGATTATCGTTCGAACAAATAATCTGACAGGTCAATGAGATACCGATTATTTCGTTAAATAATATCTATAGCTAAGATAATAATTGTAATTGGTGGAAGAAAATAATTCACCAATGTATCTGAGCAAGTCATTTATCTATCTGAGAGTGTCGTTTGTTTAGCCAAGTGAGTGAATTTATTATCTCTCTAAAAAGATAGATAATTATTATCTAAAAGAGTCAAATATCTCCATAAAAAAGGTCATGTATATGACCAAAGGAATTAATTATCTATCTAAAAAAGCCATTTATCTAACAAAGAGAGTCAAATATCTATCAAGAAAGTCATTTATTAACCTAAAAGAGTCAATTATCTATCCAAAAACCTATTTATCTATACAGCAGAGTCATTTATCTACCCTATAGAATCAATTATAGTATATCTAAAAGAGTCATTTTACATATCTCTAACGCGTGCAAGTAATAATTTTCTTTAGATATCGGACTCACCAAGTCCAAAACACCAGCCAAGGGGATGCTGTTGGCGTCGTCGCCGGCGTTGGCGATGGCCTTCTCCATGGACTTGAGGATCTGGTCGACGGGGCCCCATTCTCCCTTTTGGCACAGTATAAGTACCCTTTGGGCGGCATCTCGAATGTTGGCACCGGCACTTTGGGGTTTGGAAACGGGTCCTTCGTCGCCTTCCTGGTTGCTGCCGGTTTCTTCCTTTTCCTTTTCCTTAGGTTCCTTGGTGGGACCTGGAGATAAACACGGAATGAAAGGAAAAAGAAGTAGGAAGAAGTTTGATGTAGTAAATGCTCTCTATGTTTCATAAATTATGCAGGTGCTTAATTGAAATATCCTAATGTTTAATTAACTACATTTTTGAAGACTTACCAGTTTTACCAATATTATCTTTATCGTCATTTTTGTTATCTTTAGCAGGCGCTTTACCACCGCCCTTTTTACCGCCCGCTTGCGACATTCTACTATTAAATCACAATCATAGTTTTAATCGTTTTTTACATGTTCCGGATGATCAGGAATCATCTAAAATCGCCGGATCTTCCCTAATAATTTCCTTTTCAACAACACGAAACACCGTCGCAGAATCTGCGCGCTCGACAACATTTCGCTCCAAGAAGTTACCAGTTTAAACAAATCCTTTGGACTGAAACGGGTGAACGTGCACGAAACACCGCGGAGGTAAATAATTCCTTTTCTTATCCAATAAGGGATTTTCCATCCCCACCAGAAATTTCTCCGAAAGGGGTGCTGTTGACGTGATTCCACTATATCGTGTAGACACATTGACCTACTGTTGTACGCTAAATTCTCTGATTATAGATTAGTCTTACCCCTGTATGCATAGCTATACAGGGAAATTCAAATTGTTGAAAGGAACCGCTTAATAAATTCTTATTTTAATTATCATAGTTAGTCAATTACATAATATGTCTAGCTACATTAAACAAATCAATTATAGCTATAAAAAACATGTTTGTTAGAAACGATGAAATCAATCGAATAATAGCATCTGGACTGACAAAAATTTTAAACAGTAGTTCCAAAGGTGCACAATATTTTAATGCACGTGTTTTGGTTCGTGTTAAGCGGGTTTCGAGCATGTTAAACATTAAATAAGCATTTATTTTTTACCTGCTCGTTCAGTGTCAATGCCGCGACGGGAAGAAACAGTCCTTCAACCATTTTGCGCATTTCCCCGACAACAAAAATAATTTGACGGCCAACGATCTTTGTATTTTTTATTAGGATGGCAAGCGAGATGGTCAAGTGGTTGGCGCTACAAGGCTTACGAGTATATTTTTCCCGAAATTTTTTTACATCTCGTTAGTACCTCGTCGAGTGTATAATTAAATCGAGAATTAGGTAAGTAAATAATTTGCATAGGTAAAAGTAAAATAGGCACTAATAGATTTTTTTTTAGTTTAGCACTAACTAAAAAATGTTTAAAAAATATAGTATAATTCTGCTCGTAATGTTAGCAACACCTTGTATATTCGAAGAAAGAACGATATTGGATGATACTCTTGGGCCGATTTTTAGAAATCTTAAGCTGATATCTTCTAGACGAGTAAAAGCTTTTATGGAAAGGAAGGATTACAATAATATTTTAAATAAAACACATGTGAGTATATACGGCATTTTACAATTTAATTTCATCAATTAATACCACTATAACATTCCTCACTATTTAGAATTTATCATACAACGCTTCATATTTTTTTAAATTAATTAGAAAGCTGCCAAAAAGCTCTCCCCTGATGTACCATTTCCCTGCGATCTAACCTATGGAGGAAGGAGTAAAAAAGTACCAACAACCGTCCACGAACTCAGGCCTGGTGATATCGACATCGTCGGTAATCTCGGTGATAGTTTAAGTGCGGGTACAGGAATATCCGCAGTATCCATCATCCAGGGAGTAATGAGGGAGGAAAGAGGACGATCATTCACTGGAGGTGAGCGCGACCAAACGCGCAATAAATTACTAATTAGTGTTTTATATAGGAGGGGAAAAGACTTGGAGGACTTATTTAACATTACCGAACATATTGAAGGTGTTCAACCCCGCTCTGTTCGGTTATGCATTGGGTGGAGGGCCGAGTATAATATGGGAATCGCAGTTTAACGTCGCTGAAAACGGAGCTACGTCTGAAAACATGCCTTACATGAGCAGGGAATTGGTGAAAAGGATACGACACGATCCCCGAACTGATGTAAAAAATCATTGGAAGGTAACATTGTTAATTACATCTTTAAGTGATTCATAAGTAGCTATTTTTTTTTAGATGGTGACTCTAATGATTGGAGATAATGATTTTTGCAACAACGTTTGTTACTTTCCTAATTATTACGATTCTTTGGAACAGCACAGGAGAGATTTATTGGAAGTTTTGAGGTATTTAAGGGACAATTTACCACGGACAATTGTCAACGTAATTCCACCACCTCGTAAGTAGGTACAAATACCTAATGTAATATAGAAACGAATACAAAAAACGAGACTATAGTTATTATAAGTATAACAATGTAGGAGTAATTCAACAATATTTTATTCAAGGGTTGGACGTTTTCTACAAAATGGAAAAAGTATCTTTCCAATGCTATCTTGTACAAAACTTCGCTTGTCCTTGTATTAAAGGCCTAACGTATAAAAGTAAGCGAAAAATATTGAGCGATATAATGAAGAAATGGCAGCTAATTCAACTAGAAGTGTGTAATTTGCCAGAATTTGATTTGGACGATTTTACTGTAATACCTCATCAGTTTACTTTGAACTATACGTTTCCCACGACCCCCGATGGAGAGTTAGATTTTAGTGTATTGGCGCCAGATTGTTTCCATTTTTCTGAGAAGGGCCAAGCTCGCGGTAAGTAAAAATATTAATATATTAAATTTCCGGTTTCCCAGAGGTTTTTCGATCGCATAAAAGTTATTTAAATTCAATTTTTTAGTTGCCAACGATTTGTGGAACTCAATATTAGAACCGTTTGGAAATAAAAGCACAGATGGACGTGATGTGTTCGCGAAATTCAATTGCCCTACGGCGGATCATCCGTTTATATTTACCAGAAGAAACAGCCCCAAATAAACGGAATTTATGTAATTTATTTCGAATAAATTCGACTTATTTTAGGAGAATATCTTGTTTTTTTTGGTTTATTTTTATAATTTATCCATGATTCTAAATATTTAGAAGGGTTAAGGAGTTTCAACCGATGTACAGGACCGCATTTCTTTGAAATATTTTTAATATTTCAAATTTTGTTTATAATTTTTTAAAAATGAAATTTTTAACACCTTTTCTATCATAATTTTCTTATTACTCTAGATATTTTTATGAAATTTTGTACACAATTTTTAATTATTAAGGAGCAATTTTTAAGGCATAAGATTTTTTTACAAGTTACAGTGACGTCCGTACCTAAGGGGTTTGAACTGAATATGTTTGAAAAAAAATGGTATGCCACTGCTTTTTCTAAAAACCAAAATTATTATCAAAATCTTAATTTATTTTCTAACAAATTCGGTCAGAAGACTTACTTTCGTAAGACGCACCATTTTCGCGTAAAAAAATAAAAACCAAAAGAATTTTTTCCCAAGTTTATTGAGACTGCTTTTGATATTTGTTGAAATTTGGTAGGCACCCACCAGGATTGGAAATACATTTTTTTGGGGATAAAAGTTAATTTTCCACTATTACCAGTGACGTACACGTCCGAAATTTCATAAAAATTTCTGGAGTATTAAGAAAATTATGATAGAAAAGGTATTTTTTTTTCTAAAAATTTAACTCTAGCTCGAAAACTATGAAGACATTTTTTTCTTAAAATCAACCAAATTTTCACATCCTGAAATGTGGGCATTCAATCAATTAACACCCTATATAATGAAAATTTGCGAATAATCGAGGCGGAAAATTCGAAACATCACCTATTGGAAAACGAGCAAATTTATTAGAAGGAATCCTTTTAACCCAAAACTTACCGTGTAGATGTCAGCACTAGTCTGAAATAATGTCCTTACAGGAATTTTCAGGATATAATTCAACTCTTAAACTATAGATGGCCACACCTAACATATCCCAATTTTTAAAAATTAACTCTAATATTACATATTAAAATAATTGATAACTAATAGATTGCTCTTCATTTCTAATGCGTCTATGCGCATGTATGTAAGTAAAATTAAACAATTTTATGGTAATAACATGGAAAAACACAATCCAATTTATTATTATGACAGGTGCATGATAAATGAACAATGAACTAGTAACAACTCGCGTATTACCATGGGTGTGCGCGTTATTATTAAATTTCCATCGATTCGTACGTCACGGAACATTACAATAAATAATAATAAGTCACGTCTGTTACATCAGTCACAAGTGTTTAGCGTGAGATATCTATCAAATCGAGTGAAGGATTGGCATGTGGTGAGGCGCACCCCTCGTCAGACCCAAAGATTGATATACCAAAGAGGATCGAGCGACGTGCTCGCATTATTCACCGGGCGCGCTCACCAGCGAACCCATCTCTTTCCTTTGATTAATATACACGTACATTTGTCGAATATTTCATGCTCTCACTTTTCATTACGGTCCCGGAACGACCGTCATTTATATTTCTTTTTTCCCCGACGCGAACGCCAACTTTTAGAAATAACGCCATTTCCGAGACAAATCGCCGGGGAAGTCAGATTTCGAGCGTCGCTGCTCTGTATGTATCACTGGTGCCATTTTATTAATTCGCTCGCGTTAGAAAATGGCGATAAAATAAATCAAAGCTCGTCGACGTCATCGATGTTTTATCGCGAACGCACTATATTCGTTTATGTGTTATGCGAAACTCCATAAAGGCCGTTTGCCAAATTCGAATTTACAACCGGTCTCGGATAGTGTTAAGGAATTATTCGGTCTCCCGGGTAAATGAGATGTGCCTAGAGGGCATACATATACATGTCATCCGGACAGATATAAATAGCGAAGATGAACGGTTTCTTTTAGGCGCTCGCTTACATCCACCGTTTCTCGAGCATTACAAGCGTGAGGGCGATTTTTCACCCGTCCGAGAGCCGGGTGGAAAGCCGAGACGTATAGCCTCATCGCTCTAGCGTTCTGTCAGCTCGATCTTTACGTCGTGTCTCTGTCCTCCGGTTTCTTTTTTTTGCTTAGTTTTTCATAGTCCGGGAGATTCCCTTTCTTTGCCATTACGACACTGATATTGCATTTGTATAGAGTGCATCTAAAAAAATGAATGCTCTTCTACCCTTTTAACGAACCAATAAAACTCATATTTATAGATATATTAAATTCCGATATTAATTAAGGTCATATTGTGTGTAAAAATTGGAGTTATATTTCTCCGGGACACGTGTAATGAAAGTATATAGTTTTCCGGCGACCGCAAGCTGAATATCCCTGCAGCTGTAAGCTGTATATTCCGTGATGAATGGCCAGCACACATTGCAGTAGATGGAACGCAATATGTCCGTTGGAGAGAAGCAATAACCATTAGATATCGAGAAAACTACCCCATTTCGTATGACACAACCGGCGAATAAAAGGAAATTTATACCGTACGGGATAGCGGGATAAGTAAAATTTAGACCAAAAAAAATGCAGAGAAAGACGATAATTTTTTAGTGGATTCGGGAAATTATCGCTTCATTACATGCTTATGAACGAACGAGGACAATTGGTTTCGACTCGACAATCCGAAGTTAAACGAGTAAAAAGATGAGTAACAGGATAATTGAAAAAGAACCACGATATCCCGCATAAAAGGATATTATCTTGTCTCAGAAGAGAATTAAATCAGTCGGACGGTTAATTTCGAAACAAAGAGATACCCCGAAGGCCGGAGCTCGTTACCCGCGTTCGAAGACCGATCCTGTGCGTGCGTATGCAAATCCGAAAGTTGATAAAATGCAGATCCAATTTTTACCGGCTATCAACCATAATCATGATGTCAGCCTCACGCCCGACAGACATGTAAACTAGACAGCTAACTGACAGCCTGACTGCTTCCCATGGACAACTGACAGCAACAACTTGCCGTGTTCAGCCGCCGCCACCGCCGCCGCGCCGCTAATATTTAGGGATACACTGGTGCACGGAGAGCAGGAAAATCTATTTTCCCAACACCTGTGGATTATTGCGGATTTCTAATATAAATAATTAGTTTTAAAATTTAGTGTATTAATCAATCAGTCGCCCAGATTGTAGTGTCCTTTCGAGGATATGGGCGATAAGTCTTTGTTTGGTAGAAAGCCGGTGAGCGATGAGCGAGCGAGATTGAGGGGCTGCGACAGGGCGGGGGCGGCGGCCGGGGCCCCGCGGAAGATAAATCGACTGGGTTAGGGGCCAACGGACGTGGCGGCGGAAGAGCAGACAGCAGTCTCTTACCCCGGTGGCAGCGACGATTATTCACCGGAGGAGTTGGCGCGTCCCGCGGGGCACTCGGAAGCGCCGCGCTCGCTCCCCGAGATAAGCGTTTTACATTTGTAACCTTTCAGCCGGGCGGACGAGAATTCGACGGGCTGCTACCCTCGCGCCGAATGGCGATACGTGGTTCGCATGTAGATTTTTCGGGTTGTTTTTTTTTTCGTTTGACTTAATGACTATCATTAATATCTAAAAAATAGAGATGGTAGCAACTTTTTAATTATAGTCGCTCTTTTGTGGTAGATAATATACCTCTGACAAAAAAGTACCCGGAAATTCTGATTTAAATTACCTGCACTTAATAATTTTAACTATTTCAAGTTTCTGTATAGTATGTAGGTTCTTAACTAGCTAACCAACTGTTTTTAATTATAGTAGCATGCAAACAATTAGGAAGATTCTTAATCAATTTGGTTGTCACTAGCAGCTAAATTGAATCAGTTCATCTCATGCAGTAGTGCTCTAAGAGTTTTACAATTGACAATAATGAACTAAGAGTAATTGTCTCATATATTTTGGGTTTTGAACGGAATTTCGTGGGTCGAATCGATGCAAGTTCTTAAGGTGAGTTTCTTTTATCGAAAACCCATATTTATGAATGTTACAAAACTTTTAAAGGCTTGCCTTGATCCGGACGGTCTTCGACCTCTTCAACCAATAATAACGGCGAGAAAATAAAGGAAATTGTCTTCGAAACTGATCATGCTAGTATTAGAGAAGTAGCATTTGACTCTAACATATCTCGTGAAACCACTCGTATGATTTAGCTCAGCTAATCAGACATGATTTTGAGGCTCGGCTCGATCTGATAGAGCTGAGTTTCTTCAAAAACTGGTCGCTGGTCGCTGCATATGCTGATTCGTGTGAAGTACCATCGACCAGCCGCTTTACTCACCAGATTTAGCCTCTTGCGATTTTTTTATTTGTTTCCCAAGCTCAAATTGCCACTTTGGTAATCACGTTTTGACTCCATAAATGCCATCAAAGAAAAATCGCGGAAGGAGTTAAAAGCTGTACCAAAAAGGGCCTCTAGAAATGATTCAATGATTGGAAAAGACGTCTGATTATGTGTATCGTTTCAAAAGGAGCATATTTTGAAGGAAATTCGAAAGGAAAATTAAAGAAGATTAGGAATTTTGCGTTTTATTCCAATTTTCCGGGTACCTTTTTGTCACTGTGTACTGTGTACAATAAATATTTATAGAATCTTACTTAATACATCAGGTAACTGATCCTCTACTAAAGTATACCTATTTATTAACGATTTCTTTCTAATGGTTTCTGACCTGAGAGGTTCGGAACACCCAGTAAGATACAATAAAACATGGAATATTCCTTTGTCAATAAGTGTATAATATAATAATCCAACAACACTTTTATTCGACTGTAATAAAAACAATATTAGTTTAGTGGCGTAATTTACTCTCATGACTTGGCAGTTTAAAATTTTATTAGTCTGTAAAAAAACAAGGAAAATCTCATTACAAACGGTCAGTTATCCCGGCTTTCTACAAACTATTAAATTACCACTCTGGATGAGGTAAATATGTTTATATAACCCGGTCGGTAATAGCCTTTCGCCGACGGAATTTCAAATGTATGGAACCCGGCGCCATTACCGGCTAATATATTGTACTAAAAGTTGAGACTCTCGTTATACCTTTCATATCCCTATTTGCAGTTTATTTAAATTAGATCCATATTC